CCTTGGGAAAGATTTGGCGCTGGCCCACGTTTTGCAGCTACGCGAGCTGTTTCTCACCGTGACTAAAGCAGGCAGCACTCCTGGGATCCCCACTGCTGGGCATCCACAAGTTCTCTCTTTACCTAAGACAGTCTCTGGTCACTTGGTCCTGAGAACACTCCTCACTAATCAGCAGATTTATGCCACACACAGCCTCTCCACTGCACTGCTATAATTACTCGCCTTCCTTGGCCCAGAATCATTTCCTCAGAAAGCTAACATTACATTTTGTTTCTCAGCAAATTCGCTGCCGTTTGGAGGCTAATTTTCCAATCTTTGGCATGGATGAACATTCCACGCCCGGGTCCCCAATTTCACATTCCGCGGTAATTACAACACCCACCACAAAGCATCAGGCCACCTGGTCCCACAGAAAGAAAAAAAAAAGTAAAATGTTATAATAATAACAGGCTTTAAAAGATAAGCAGTTCGAAAATATTTTTACTGACCAAAGTTTTACCCAATTTCAGTGAATTAAGCATTCTTTGCTTCTGCAATTTTATCTATTTTTCTCTGGAACTCCAGCTGAAACAACAATGAAATATAAACCACAGAAACTGCTGTATATTCGATGGGTCTAGGAGGGAGTCGTAGCCGAAATCACAAATCCCAAATAGAAATTTGGTGGCAGCGGGGACGGGACTGCTAGGAAGTTACAAAATAGTCATGGGATGTAAGGTACAGCATAAGGAATACAGTCAGTAATATTGTACTAAGTGTGCATGGTGCCATTTGGGTACTGAAAATTTCAGTCAAGTTGACATTTTAGTATAAAAGAAATAAACTCATGAATATGCAATAAATCAAGAAAGCGTCCAAGAGCCTGTCTTAAAAATGTGATTATGAAATGAAAAGAAGGGGGAAAAAGATGCATCAAAATTAGGACCTCAGTAACTGTGGAGAAGCCATAGTTGGAAAGCACCGGGAGTGGAAAAAAAAGAAAGAAAGAATAAATCCACTAAAATATAATAATAAGATTTGAAGGAAATGGAAAAATTAGTCATGAAAATGAATATAAGTGGGAGAACCAAAGAGTAAAGGTTAAACCCAACAAAATCAGCAAGTAATGAGAGCAGGGTGTCGTGGCGCACAGTAGGACCACACTTCATAGTTTCTATATTGAGTGCATGCACGGAGCATGCTTAGGACAATGAAGTGAGAGTTGAAGTGACTCGCATGATCTTTAGGCAGAAGCTGTAAGGCATTGGCTCCAACTTGCCAGATCTCTTCCTCTGTCTGCTAGGAGCTGCTGCTCTAAGGGGGTATATCAGATGTCCGCCCCCTTCCACTATCCTAGGGGTGCTTTCCAGGACCGAGCTCCATAAAAGTCCCCGGAAACTTCCAAATCCCCGCCAAGCCATGTACCTCTTCCATATTCTCGGGGGTCAGCTAGGCTTGCACCTTCTCAGCCACAGCTCCTGGGAAAACACGCATCTCACCCAACCCATCGACTCCCAGATCCTCACTGCAGGGCCTGGCCTTGAGTTTCTGTGGGTTCACCACCCACCACCTCCCTCACGGATGTTCCAGCAAAGGCCCCACTGGCCTTCGGAGGGTGGTCTTCACACGTTCACATGATGTCATCCATGTAATGGGCTCGCATTACTGATGTGGGGGAGGAAGGACAGGTCTCGGGCTCCTACCCATGACATGTTGTTGTCCATTGTTGTCCTCCCAAGTGAAGGCAGGCTGATGGTAGTTATCAGTAGTTACCTGTCTTTCCCAGAGGATTTCCCACGAATATCCTTGAAGATGAAGCACTTTTTGCAGGAACACTTGTATTAATTACTATATTAATAATGTATAAATTACTTAGTGTAATAATCTATATGTAATTAACAAAAATAATATATCTATTGCAAATAATATATCTATTGCTAGAACTAAAGAAAGTTCTAGCATCACGTCTCATTTGGCAATGCTTCCCATGGAATTTAACACATCAAGTAAGCCTATAAGTTTACTATCTCCAATTTAAGACAGGGCACGTCTATGAGATGTCCCAGGGACTCTCGTGAAAATCCCAAAATTAGTTCAAGGTCAACTAGGCTTCATTTCAAATTTGATTTTGGGGGAAGTTTGTAAAACTTATCAAAAGGTATAAAGCACTCGATTAAATGAGATCATAGGTCACTGTGAGACAATACTTAGTTATTCATTTAACCAAAGTCACAATTAAAGAAATCAAAGGCAAATACCAGGGAATTGTATATCTGTAAAAAACAAACAAAGAAAACCCACGCACACGACATGGCCCTTTTAACGGAGAAGGATCTATTTTCTTAAACAAAGACCCAATAAAGACAATGAGAAGTACGGGAAGTCGTTTTCATTAAACACAGAATCCTTGTTTTCCAGCCAGATTACGCAAAAGGTAAACATAACCCTTTCACAATCTTACCAAGAACAGACCAGCAGTCCAAAAAAAACTCTGTTTTATCAGCACATGAGAGGGAGTCAAGTTTCAGGTTTCCATAAATACGCTATTGATATTAAGGCTTATTTTTAAAGACACAGAGGACTTATTTTACAAAATAATTTTGGCAGTGCCCTTCCAAAGTTGGAAAACATCACATATACACCATGTGTAGCCACAGACACGCATAACATGCAGACACAACAGAGACCCCATCGCTTTCGTTCCAAACTTTAGCCAGGAATCAGGTAGCCACTCACATGGCCGATGCTTCTTGCTAATCTGTGTGGAGAAGACTTTTCAGATTTGTATATTTGCCCTTGACCAATGATCTTATGCAGGGTTGGGACCAGATTTGAGGGCAAGGCGTCTTCTGTAGCAGTCTGTAAAAACAGGATTTTTTTAAAAGCAAAAATGAAAGCTTTTAACTCCCTCCCCCCTTATTTTTTCTTCAGTCCCTGCAAGCAAAGGCTTCATTCTCTCGGAAGGTCTTTACACACGTCCAAACGATGAAAAGGGACAGAACAAAAAGGGTGGGTGTTCTCTCCTAGGAGTTTGGGGCACGTGTCTCTATTATCAGAATTCTGGGGTGATTGCTCTTTAACATTTTCCTTTATTTTCGGGGTGGGACTGCCTGGGGCACTTGTTCATGGCATTGACCAACGCTAAGAGTTCCCTCTGTTCGGAGCAAAGATGGCTGACAATACACAGAGTCAGAAGGGTGGTGAGCCTGGTGTTTGCACGTCCAACTGTGAAGCCAGACCGTCTGAGTTCTAATCTCCTGTCACTTGTGTGAAAGGGGGAATAACAGAGGAGTTTACAAGGCTTATGAGGGCACTAGCGGATGATGTGTTCCATGCAGCCCCTGACACACGAGCATTAATCATTAATCAGCAGTTATTGCAAGGTCGGTAGAGCTTGGAAGGTTGAGGCAATCTCCGTGCAGAGGCAAACAAGAGATTTGCTCACAGATTCGTTCTGCAGCCTTAAGCAGACTCCCAATATGCAGTTAGGTCGGTGTGGCACCCGGGGTGAATGTCTAGGAACTCAGGAAAGGACTGTGGGGGAGGCAGCTGGTGCAGGAAAGGGAGGCCCCCGTCGCCATCTCCACAAGCTTCCTAAGTTTCCAGAATGTTCTCCAGTGGGGCCCAGGAAGGGGCCGAGGAGATGGCCGGTGGTGTTTCTTCTCCTTGAGGAGGTTGGGTTACTTGAAGAGCTTACAATCTGGTTTTAGAAAAGCACCCAACACAATAAGGGCAGTAAATAAGATCGGAGGCCCCTGTGTGTTTTCATTCTTTTCATCTGGACCAGTTAGTAAATCAGAGGATGCAGCAGCATCCCCTCGAAAGGGGCCTCTAGAATGTGTAGCTTCTCCGCGTAAAGGAGGGTGTATTGAAATAAGCCTGAAAAAATGACCTTTCCCTTCGTCCACGTGTAGGGCAACTGGTACATTGTGTTTCGTGTGAGCCAGGAGGAAAGATAATTCCCTGGTCCTTTTTTTATTGATTTCAGAGAGGAACGGAGAGAGAAACATCAATGATGAGAGAGAATAGAGCCTTAGAACCCAGGGCCCGGCTGGTGTGGCTCAGGGGTTGAGCATCGACCTATGAACCAGGAGGTCACGGTTCGATTCCCGGTCAGGGCACATGCCCAGGTTGCAGGCTGGATCCCCAGTGTGGGGCGTGCAGGAGACAGCCGATCCATGATTCTCTCTCATCCTTGATGTTTCTATCTCTCTCTCCCTCTCCCTTCCTCTCTGAAATCAATAAAATAGTTTCTAGAAAAATATTTGTCACTCAAATGACAAGTCCTTAAAAATAAGTAAATAAACCAACACAAAGGAATCAATAACATTATTTGATTTATAGGAAGCACAAAAACTGGCCAATTGAGTCTATGTTCTTAGAGAACAGGGTAGAGGGCACCTTTTGAGGGTTGGGGGGAGGGGAGAGGCAAGAGCTTGAGGGACAGGGAGGACTGGGGCATCCTGGGAGAAAGTGCTCTTCAGTGCCTTGACCCTGGGGCTGGCTACCAGGCTGTGTTCACCTTCCCAACAGTCAGCAAACCACTTGTTTATATTCTCCTCATGCCGATTGTCTCAATACAGGGTAAAAATATCAGCACGCCCATTTCTTGCTTTCTGAACTCATTTATGCCTCAGGAGCACGAACCTGTTGCTTCACACACCCTATGAACAAGCCTTCAGGGGACTGAGGTCAGGCCTTGCAGGAAAAGCAGGTCCCCCCAATCCACCAGCCCCTGCATTCTTGGCAAAGCTGATCGCTCCCCTCCCCACTTCAAAAGGATTTTTCAAAGAGCGCCTGTTATTTCATCTCCTGAGGTTTCCCACAACGGACCTGCTTTGGGTGTGAGTCAGGAGAGGGTTTCAGAGTCCAGGGACCATCAGTTAAGCGCTGCACATTCCCAGAACCCCAAACAGTTTCCAGCAGGGAAGGGGCCTGGCTTCTGAAAGCCCAGCCAGCGCAGGTCACAGGGCTCCCATTCAGTGGGAGCCAGGAGAGTGCTCCTCTCCCTCCCCTAGGCCAGGGATCCTGATGGGCGGGGCGTCTGGCCATCTCCCTGTTTCCCAAGCTGCTGCGCTTGAACTTCCTCCTGGAGCCAGCACTTCCCTGCACTCAGCACAACTTTCCAGGCAGAGGACACCAGGAGGGCGACTGAGCATCGTCAGCTACTCCATGCACCCCTGGCAGGCCCCCCAAAATGAGGCTCCCCGCGAAGATTCTGTGGCTCATGTTATGGTCTGTGTGTGTAGCACAAGGTAAGAGTAAGAATGAAAGACTTTTTTTTTTTCCCTACGACTATACTATCAAGCACTTGCTAACAGCCTTTTGGCTGTGGCAATAAGAATGTGCTCTAGAAAATGCGGTTCATTCCAGCCGTGTGACTTAGTGTTTGAGTGGCTTTTGACACCGAAGTTTAAAGCATCTACGTGGCTTACTGGCACGGCATTCTGGTTCTACAGCGTAAGTGTATTTCATGGAAGTTTTCAGAAAATATTTTTGGAACTGTCTTTGAAAATTGTAGTATGTGTGGGTCACTTCCATTTGTAATTTTTATAAAGTATGATTTCCTTTTTTGCTTTCAGTTTTCACTAAAATGCTCTGTGTCACGGTATTAAGCAGTATGTGAATAATGTAGAAGCAGAATAGCAATTAGCAAAAGCCTTCAAATCATATAATGATTGGATTTATTTCAGATATAGTATTAGCTCTTCCTGAAGAAATATTCATTTATCGTTTAGAACTGATGTTGCCATGGCCTTATAGATGACCATTACTTGTATCATTAGAATGAAAATATGATGTAAATTTGGAAAATACCTGTGATACCTACCTTGTTCTCTGTGATACCTACCTTCTCTGTGATACCTACCTTCTCTGTGATACCTACCTTGTTCAGTAGGGTTTCTCCCTGGGGTTGTAGATAAGACTGATTCTAGAATAACAGTCTTCAGCTATAGTGACTTTGAATGGAGGAGGTTTCTTCTGATACCAGGGGGACAATTTCTGGATTCATCATTAAATTTAATTCTATCACTATTTCTTGATAGATTAATGCGTTTCTTAAACCCGGCTGAACGAATTTGCTTTCCTAGTTCCTGACAGGCAATGATGTGATAGGTACATGATGGACGTTGCTGAGCCAAATGCATTGCATAGCATTCCTAGGTTCTCAAAACTTTCTGCTAAGCCAACACATTTTGAGGGAAACGCTGACTCATGTCAGCGTTGAGAAAAGTTCACACATAACCTAGGCCCTCTGGCCCTGAGGGTCTTTCAAACTAGAAAAAAAAGGCAGATTTTTTTAACTTACATCCTTCAGTAACTCATGTAAGTTTATTCCAATATGTTTCATACTTTTTGAAAAATAGAGCCTTTTTAGTTATGTTGTTCTAATATTCTACTGTGTGACTTTTAGCTTGTAAACTTTATATCCTGCCACTTTTCAAACTTGGTATACAATCATTTCCCTGCACATATCAATATTACAACTAGTATTTAAAGGTAAAATATTATTTATTGACAAACAGTTCAGAACAATGATACTGGCTAACCAGAGAAAACTTTCTCTTTACATGCGTTTTTGTCATTTTTTTAATAGAAATACATGTAGTAGTGTTTCACCATTTATTTACAAGTTGTTTGTTGAGGTTCTATGCAGACATTGTTTGTCATGTAAAGAGTAGTCTATTCCTAGCTTATGTTTATGACTCAGGAATCATGCCAAGTTTAATTAGACTTCTTCAATGACTACAGAGCGGAATCTGAAATATTAAAGTTGGGCGCTACAACGTATTTGTGGTAAAGATCAAATAAAAGGCATTTACATTATTTGATGAGGGTACTGATGCCAGGTAACTTACTTCTAGCTTCGATTCCTTGTGTCACCTTTGAATGTTTAAGTGTGACATCAGTTTCTGCCGGGGACTTGAGCACCGTATACATTATCATGGAATGACTATCAGCCTGCCACTTCCTAATAAGCACAACTGGAATGCTGAAAGCAACGCTTGGCTTAGCCTCAGGAATGCCACATGCACACGCACTGCCCAGGCCTGTGAGAAGAATGACATGAATTTCAGTGGCTGTAGCACAACTGTTCTCTCCCTTGCTGGCCGAATAGTCCTGAAACTAAATGAGTTTGCTGTGCATTATTGTAACTGGATCACTTTTCCGGGAGGATTTTCCTGGGAAAAGGGAGACGTGGATAGCACGCAGGGGCAGAACCAGACGAAGCGATTCTAGAAGATGAGGTATTTCCAGGTAGACTAGGTCCAATGGATGACATGTCCTATGAGACGGGGAGGGACTGCACCAAAGCAAGCCTCATTATTTTGTTTGTTTTTTGTTATTTTGAACTCTGAAATATTTTTTTAATAATAAAATTTTTAAGTTGAATTTTATTGGGGTGACATTGGTCAACATGAACACATAGGTTTCATGTGTGGATTTCTAAGTTATGAAATCTCTCTATACAGCCCCATGTGCCCGCCACCCAAAGTCAAATCTTCTCCTGTCACCTCATATGAGGACCCCCTCTGCCCCCCACCCCACCCCCGGCAGCCACCACTCTGCTGTTTGTGTTCATAAGTTGCAATTTTATGTCCCACACAGGAGTGAAATCGTATGGTTCTTGGCTTTCTCTGTCTGACGTATTTCACGTAGCATGATGTTCCCAGGGTCCATCCATGTTGTTGTAATTTGTAAGCGTAGGCAGGTCCTGGAAAAATGAATATGCTCCTCTTTCGCTTGCATAAAATGTTAAACCAGAAGGGAATTGCTTAAGGATTGCTAACACTATTCTTAGCTACAAGGAAGTTCCCAAGTCGGAGTTGGAAGCCCAGGTTAGTAACGGTTCATTATTGGCCTTTGATTGCCGGGGCTGGAGCCAAAGTCTAAGTGGACTCACTTTTATTTGCTCAAACCCTGATTGTTCTACAGTTTTCACCACTTCCCCTTCTTTCCGGCTCTGCCTCCTCCTCCTCCCCCACGCACCCTCCCCCACCTGCCCTGCCTGGCCATGACTCTCTGCCAACCAATCCATGTGTGTTCTCTCAACTTCTGTGCACTTTGCCCATTTCTTCAGAACATAATGCATGAAAAAGACATGATGTAATTGGGGGGAAAGTGCTACATTTTAGCTTAAAATGATAAGGAAATATTATAAAAATGTCTCAGGAAGTAATGGAACAGGGAGAAAAAAAATCACAAAAATAATGAAGGGAAAGGGGAATAAAAGATTTGACAGAGCACTTTTATTTGTTTTGACACTTTAATGGAGAGAGAGCCAAGTTTCTCATAAATCTTGTTAACTCGAAATATAATAGATAGAAGAGAGATTATAAAAATGTTCCTTCAAAGGCTCCCAAAAGTTTTTTGAGCTAAATCAAAATAATTTCGGACTTCACAAAGTATAGTGTAAATTCAAACTTGGGACATGTGGACAGGATGGACAATGGGATTACAGATGGTAGGGTTTCTTGGGCTCATGCAACTGAACTTCTATTCCCATGTCCTCTCCCATCTTTTATATTTGCTACCACCTACCATGCCCTTCCACAAGTTGTCCATAGCCTATAGAGATCATGAAAAGGTTCCCATATTCATATTCATATTCATTCATCCATTTGTTCATTCATTCATGCATCCATCGGTTCTTGATTGATTGACCGCTACACAACTCGCACTCTGACTAGCACTTTCCAAAAGGTGGTCAGTTAGTGGGGAAAACAAAAGGAATGATTATTGCATTGTACTAACATAGTGTATTTGATCATATAAAGTATTGTGATGGAGATAAACAAAGGAGTCTATGATCATTTAGAGAAGGCAAGAAACTCAAATTGGAATGAGAGAATGGAGTGGGGTAGGGTTGAGAGAGAAATATGGCAGGGTGGTGAGGACATCTTGGGTGGGTTTTGAAGGCTGAGTAGGAGTTGGCCAGATGAGAACAAGGAGGACATTCAAGATTAAGGAAACATCATATCAATAATTAAGCCTATTTTATAACCTGGCTTTTATTTGCCTGAATTGACAAAGAGCTAACTGTTCCAAGCTCATTCTCAAAAATTTTCCATTCGACAAAGAGTTATTTTATCCCAAATAGTCAAAATGTTGGTATATACAAAGGGCTGACGTAGTTCTGTAAAACTGGAGGACTGAAGCCATCGCCCATCTTCCTAACTCTTCCATCGATTGAACTTCCCCAAGCACCACAGGTACAATTGGGTAGTGTGTGTGTTTTCTTCCCTTTCACTGTTCATTTGTATCCCCAAGATTGTCATGATAATTATTCAGTTGCTAAATAATTTTAGAAAAATAGACTAATTGAATGAAGAGACCAACTTCAGTCTACCAAAACAATCTGGATTTGATCATGTTTTCTCAAGTGTATAATTTTATTTTAATTTATTTTATTTGATTGAGAATACTTTTCAAACAAGTTTATAGATATATTGACATTGAAAACCAGTCATTAGCTCTGTGTGTCTATGTTAATATTACCCCCTTAAAATTTGAAAGTGGAAAAATTAGGTGAGTACTGATTTTTAAAATATCAAGTGTATTTGTTTTTAACTTTGATCAAAATTTTATAATCATGTTCCTCAAATTATCATAAAATGAATCCTATTCTAGTTCAATAGCCAAATCCATTCATACTCCATATTTATAGACTGAATAATTTTGTCTTGTTCACTTGGAAAACCAGACTAAGCAAATAAAAAGTTCACCCAGTTAGTGTTTGACCAGAGAAGAAAATTAATGGGCATTTAATGGACTCTATAAACACATAATATGAAGTATTCATTGTTTAAATCCAGGTAAATACTTACACGAAAGAAAGCTTGGATTACTCATTAACTTAGAACTTGAGAAATATGATGGCTATTCAAAAAAATAATAAAAACTTTCAAATTAATCCTATCTCCTGAACGAGCTGTCCATTTAATATAAGAGAATGTGGTTGGTGCACATCCGTGCCAACATTTTGACTCTTTGGGATAAAATAACTCTTTGTCTAATTGAAAATTTTTGAGAATGAGCTTGGAACAGTTAGCTCTTTGTCAATTCAGGCAAATAAGAGCCAGGTCATAAGATAGGCTTAACTACTGATATGACACAATTCAGTGAATCATCACTTTAAAATGTTTTGTAATGACGCAAGTTGAAAATACTCAGTTATTCAAGACTAGAACACAAGTAGATAGGAGGTACATTTGAAGTGGGGAGAGCTTAGTATTCATGAAAGTCCCTCCACTCTATAAAAGAGGACAGAGCCCAGCTGATGTAGTTCAGTGGTTGAACGTCCAGTCAGGAACCAAGAGGCCACTGGTTCAATTCCCGGTCAGGGCACTTGCCCAGGTTGCAGCTCAATCCCCTGTGGGGGGTGTGCACGAAGCAGCTGATCAATGATGTTTCTCTCTCATCAGTATTTCTCTCTATCCCTCTACCTTCCTCACTCTCAAAAAAATCAATAATATATATATTTTTTTAAAAAGAGGACAGAGATTGTCCTTCCTTTAAGGAGCCAACATGGATGGGAGGATTGATGAAAGTCTAGTAAACATAAAACAATGATGAATCCTGAGCTGTGTTGGGAAGGAAATGATGTTTAAGTAGAGCCTGCAGGAGGAGACAAAGCCAACTGTCAAAAGCCTGTGGTTAAGAATGTTTCATAGTCAAGGTGACGGATGACAGTAATCAGAGCTAAGAAACTGGAGGTGGCCGTGGAAAGGTGGGAAAACGAGCGAGGGTGATACATCCTTTTCTTAAAGAGTCAAGATGTGCATTTAAAGTCCATGAAAGAAGCATTTTTAAGTATTATTTGACATAAAAAGGGGAATCAGTCAGCTTGGGGATTCCTGAGGTGCCATAAACAAACACACAGTGAATATTGGGAAAAGCTGGTAGGAAGATGACGCCAGATGTCTACCTTCGTCTTTTCCACCTGGTTGTTAAAACCCATGAACTAAATTTGAAAAATCAAGAATTAAAGGTGTAACTGTGCCATCTGGAAATATAACAATAACCACAAGGAAGAAAACTTGTCACCTCTCTGGCCAGCATACAGGCTACATTTTGTGTGTGTGTGTGTGTGTGTGTGTGTGTGTGTGTGTGTGTGTGTATGTATCTGGATTACTCTTTCGATAGATCGCTGCATTAGTAAAAATGATTTCAGTCGAATAAGTTAATTGAGAAAATTGTATTCCTTTTCCATTGCGTTAGCTTAATAACAGAATAGGAAGCAAGTTTATCAAAAGGTTACTATATTAGTGGAAAATAGTTCTTGACTCACAATATTGGCATCTGCATTTGATATTTAACTCATGTATTTTTCTAATAATCTGAATGCCATGAAGTGGGTCTGAATATCAAAAGGGGAAAAAGCACTTGTTAGCCTGTAATTAGATGGAAAATTTTCACCTAAAAACAAACATGAACATTAAATTGTAAAGAAAATAAAAATAAAAATAAAAAAACTCTGGCTTAGGAGGCTGGAGGTTTGTATGGTTTCCTGGCGAGGTATTACCACCACCTAGTGGCAAAAAGGACATTTACTTCCTTCCAGGAATCAAAACTGCACTGTGGGATCATTTATTGCGAAGTTCCCGAACATAAATGTGCTAAAAGCTTGCGGAATCTTCAGGAGAAAATGGGTGCCTCTGTAGTTTCGCATGGAGCTCTCTGTTCTCTGAAACACTGTAAAGCGTTTTAATCATGAATATGTTCTATGATGAGATCTGTCCTAGTCAGTTATTTTTTTACCTTGTCTTTAAAAGGGAAATTCTAGAATAGAACGTTAAGCCATTAGTATAAAGCCAAGTAAGGAAAGGAGTTTAGCAATAAAAAGATAACAGTAATTATGTGTGGTGATAACTATGCATCTTTATTTTTTATTTTATTTTATTTTTTCCATCCCCATTTACCTCCTCTGTGCCCTCTTCCACCTCCACTTACTTCCCTCCACCCCTGAAATCACCACACTGTTGTCCATGTCCATGATTCTCTCTCTCTCTCTCTCTCTCTCTCTCTCTCTCTCTCTCTCTCTCTCTCTCTCTCTTCCTCTCCCTCTCTCTCTTTTATACTGCATTAAATTTGCCATTTTTAAAAGTAATGTATTGGGGGTTTACTAATGTAATCATTCTAACATCAGGAGTAGTTATATCTAAATTAAGCAGTAGTCAGTATTAAGAATATTAGCAATAATGGCAGTAGGCATGAGCATCATTGTTCATTTCTTGTGTTCATATCACCTTACCATGCTTTGTTTTTCTAAAGAAAATTGACCTATTTGTAATGGGAAGTCTTCATTACTTATGTAATAACTCACTTCCCTCTGAGGGCATATCCTTCATTCATTTTGTTTTTCTTCACATTGTAGATTGGTGTCCAATAAATATTTTCCAACTTAATAAGTGCAAGGCAGCAGTTAAAACAATATAGCGAAGTATGAGCATTTCTCTGGAAAGTTATTCTTACAAATTTATGCAGCTTCTATTTCTGTAAGCTAAAACATATGTTTTATATATATTAAGACATCCATGTGGCTGGACCTGTAACCATAGATCCTCCTATATAATAAAGAGCTAACATGCTAATTAGACCAGACAGCAGAACGACCTGCCAGAATGGCCAGTAGACAGGGGGCGGGGCCAGCAAGCCTGCACCACCAGGCCAGCCATGGTGGTCCTGGCACCCCCCCTTCTGCAGAGGCGGCAGGAGAGAGGGCTGCATGGTCCCGGTCCCAGTCCCAGCACCACACACCTTCCGCAGAGGCAGCCGCAGGGGAGCGGGCCTAAGCCGGCTGGTGGACATCCCCCGAGGGGTCCCAGACTGCGAGAGGGCGCGGGCCAGGCTGAGGGACCCCCGAGTGCATGAATTTTCATGCACCAGGCCTCTAGTGTGTGTGTGTGTGTGTGTGTTTTAAGTAAAACTAACCTAAACATACTGTCTAGTTAAATAGCTACTTTGAGCTCTTATTCTGTTTTTCTTGTTTGTAGATTGTCAAGGGCCTCCTCCGAGAAAACAGACAGAAATTCTGACAGGTTCCTGGTCTGAACAGGGCTACTCGGAAGGCACAAAGGCCACCTACAAATGCCGCCCTGGGTACAGGACATATGGCACGATCACCATGGAATGTAAAAGAGGGGAATGGGTGTCCCTCAACCCATCCAAGATATGTCAAAGTAAGTCAGTCACACATTTGCACCATTTACCAAAACTTTTAGTTGCGAAAAGACTGAGTGTTTAATTCTGTAGACATACTGGCTGAACCATATCAGTGTTATCTGAAGTACGAAACACAACACCATCTTTATTCTTTAAAAGAGGAAGGTATCCCGGCTGGTGTGCTCAGTGGTTGAGTGTCAACTCATGAACCAAGAGGTCTCAGGCTTGATTCTCAGTCAGGCAATGCCCCTGCTGCGGGCTCCATCCCCAGTCGGGGGTGTGCAGGAGGCAGCCGATCCATGATGTTTCTTTCTCATGAATGTTTCTACCTATCCCTCTCCCTCTCTCTCTCTCTCTAAAAATCAATAAAAACGTATTTTTTTAAAAATGGGGGAGGTAATCTTCCAAATTTCAAAAAGCAAGTGTACAGGTAAGTTCCACTCTAAAATAATGACTTTGCCATTCTTCACTTTTCCACGTCCTCAATTCCATCCTCTAATGTAACATCCGTGTCCTGAAGTCTTAGAGCAGTGATGGCGAACCTTTTGAGCTCGGCATGTCAGCATTTTGAAAAACCCTAACTTCACTCTGGTGCCGTGTCACATATAGAAATTTTTTGATATTTGCAACCAGAGTAAAACAAAGACTTATATTTTTGATATTTATTTTATATATTTAAATGCCATTTAACAAAGAAAATTCAACCAAAAACATGAGTTCGCGTGTCACCTCTGACACGCATGTCATAGGTTCGCCATCACTGTCTTAGGTGAATGTGTTTCCCGTGGGAGGTGCTACTACTGACGCCTTCCTTCATTTCAGAAAAGCCCTGTGGTCACCCAGGAGACACGCCCTTCGGTTCATTCGAACTTGCAGAAGGAAATAAATTTGAATACGGTGCCAGGGTAGTTTACACATGTAATGAGGGGTAAGTAGTCACTCGAAAACCACGTGTATGAATTGACGTCATTGATCACGGATATGGTAAATAGGAACTGTCCTAATTTATATTTGTAAGGTGACTATATTTTTCTATGAGCCTTTTTATAGGCAGTGCACACGTAACCCCCAAAATTAAAATCAAGTAATGGAAAGGATGATGTCTGGATACCATGTTCTCTCCTCAATATGGAAAAATTACAATGAGGTCACAGTTTGATTTCCTGTCAGGGCACAGGCCCCGATTGCTGGCTTGATCCCCAGTAGGGGGCGTGCAGGAGGCAGCCGATCCATGATTCTCTCTCATCCTGGATGTTTCTATCTCTCTCTCCCTCTCCCTTCCTCTCTGAAATGAATAAAAAATATATTTTTTTTAAAAAAGAAACTATAGTTTAAAAAAGAACATATAGGTGTCCTGGATTATAGACTCTGAGAGTGATTGTCCCCACCACTCAGCTTGGACTCCACCAGGACTAGATATTTGTCAGCAAAAATAAGTCCTTGGGCCACACAAGGTCAACCAACTGAAGTGTTTTATGCTGCTGTTCAGTTTTATTGGAGATAGTGTTTTGCCTGTCTGAGGGCACGTAAATCTTTTGGCCCCGCTGTGAGATCTAATGGTAGAAGGGGTGTGCTACACCCATGGTTTCTGCCCGTAAACTTGACCTCTTGACCCCTTGTCCCCCCCTCACCTTCTCTTTGCTGAATACCTGTTTAGCTGGATACCAGCCACTTGTTATGATATTTAGTATGGAGACCCAGTTCCATTATCCTATAAGTAGGAAGCATTAAGGAGGAATTATGCAAAAAGTCTGGTATTTTGCCTGGCTGGGGATACAGAAACAGTAGCCATTCCTACCCCTTCCCCCCACTCTCCTCACCCCCATCAGCACATAGACAGTCTTTCTCTCTTCCCCTCCCCCATCTATGAATCCCCCTCTGGAAGGTTTTGGGGCCCATTCTGTGGAATTCCTGAAAGAACTTTGGGGGACTGGGTGGGTGTCCGCTGTAGATGGAAAGTGCTAAGCAGGAACCCTGCTTTCTGGGCCAGAAGAGTGGAGGGCACGTTTCCTAACCAGTGACCGCTCCCCCCCCGAGACAAGCAGAGACTCACCCTGGACGCCCAGCTCTGGGGTCGCACTCAGTCCACTGACATGTTTCCTGCCCTCAGAGCATGAGGCACAGACCAGTGAGACTCCAAGAAAGACAAAGTCTGTCTGAAGGAGGAGTCTGTCTGTTGTACTTGTGCAGTGGGCAGAACGGTTTCCTCATCTGCAGATGATGGGAGCAGGGGCCTATGGAGAGCTGCCCAGAGGCGAATGAAAGGCCCTTTTCAGCATTACCTCCCTGTGGTTACCAACAGGCCTTCCCTTCCTTGATTTTTTTTGGGGGGAAAGCATTTGGCCCGCAGCGGCGCTCCACTGTAACAATGAGGAGGATTAAAGCCTCTGGCATGGACCTCACATTCTGCACCCGCCTCAAGGAGAGAATTTCAGATTTCAGGCCTGGCTTGAGGAGTTGGTACGATTAGGTAAATTCAACATCGAATGGGCGATGTAAGCAGAGCAGACTCGATGACCACACTCTGCAAAGAGTCTTTAGGATGGAGATGGGGACACCAGCTGAAATAAATCCCACACTAAGGAGTCTTCCCCGACACGATCCTTGATTCAGGAAGAAGCCCAAAGTGAGCAGAAAATGCCGCCATCTTGGAGGGGAGGAGAAGTAAGGCTGAAGGAGGGGTAATAAGTCAGCTGTTGGTCACTATCATGTTTCTGGCTTTAGTTTTGGGGTGACAGTTCATAGAGCTTATGACATTGTTAAGTGCAGCCGATTAACTGACTCCATGAAAAAATAATAGCATATTGTGTGTGAAATGTAGAGTTCGCGTCATGAACCAAGGATTATGGTTATCTGCAGTCTGTCCACCTAAGGCTTGAGGGTCTTTCTTAAGAAAGAAGAAACAGAATTTAAGAAAGGTAAAAAGAAATTTAAGAGATAAAAACAGAAAGAGAGAGAGAGTGGAAGAACAAAATGTCTATGCTTTTAATAGTCCCTTAAATTGGAGTTTGGGCATTCAGCATGGTATCGAATTTAAAGCTGCTTATGAACACACAGTAGCTCACCCCCTGCTATGTTTGGTTTCCAGGTATAAAATGATAGGCGACACTGATTTCAGAGTCTGCGATGCAGATGGATGGACCAATGATATTCCTCTATGTGACGGTAGATACAATTCTAAAAATACCTAAGATGTTTTTAAATGTCTTGCATTAAAATATCCTTCCAGTCTGTAATTAAATATTTCCTCTGCAAAGTGTTACTTATGGTTTCTGAAATAGCACAGACAGTCTAGCTGACCTTTTTAGTACTACATTATTTTGTGTTTCAGTAGCCAAATAAGGATTCAGCCTCATCTGATCTAATATTTAAAGTAGGAGCGCTTGGGAAATCTAAAACTTATTTTTCTTTCCTTTTGGATTCTAACCTCTAGAAAGAACACAAGCATCACTATTTAAAATTCAGGGGATTCTGAGAGATAAACTCAATATTGTTTGTTTGTTTTTTTACTTAGTGGACTTTATCTCCAGCAAAGAGCTATATCGAATGCTTCCTCAAGAAAAAACAAAAAACAAAAACGTTTAAGTAATTTCCTCCCGTCTTATCTTGCTGATTTTTATATCTATATCTGTGTAGATACATATTTTTCAGGGTCAGCTTCCACATTCTACTAGAAAAAGCGCCGTTCCTTTTTCAGTGGTGAAGTGTCTGCCCGTGGAGGAGCCGCAGAACGGGAAGCTCATCAGCAGCGCCTACGAACTGAACCAGGAATACACTTACGGCCAAGTGGTCAGGTTTGAGTGCAAGGCGGGCTTCAAGCTGGACGGGCCGGCGGAAATACATTGCTCAGGAAGCGGCCTGTGGAGTGGCGATAAGCCCAACTGTGTGGGTGAGGTGCTCCTACTGTTGATTTTCGTTTTTTTCTCATGAAAATAGGCATCGCAGAAACACTGCGCCTCCTACAGAATCTAAATGGTACTGATGCTAAGTGACATTGATGGAGCACTTACTACCTCCTAGTAATCCCTCTGAGGCAGCGGTTCTCAACCTGTGGGTCGCAACCCCTTTGGCGGTTGAATGACCCTTTCACAGGGGTCGCCTAAGACCATCAGAAAACACGTATATCATTACATATTGTTTTGTGACTCATCACTATGCTTTAATGATGTTCAATGTGTAACAATGACATTGGGGGTCACCACAACATGAGGAACTGTATTAAAGGGTGGCGGCATTAGGAAGGCTGAGAACCACTGGCCTAACCAATGGACACAGACGCCAGGGGGGAGAGGGCATGAACGGGTTTGGGTGGGGGGGCAATGGAGGTTAAGGACACATATGTAATGCCTTAATCAATAAAGAAAGCAAGGTGAATGGTAAGAGCGACAGATAGATTCCTCAAGCATTCAAATCAAACCCAAACTCCTGCTGGGCTGCCTGCGGGACCCAGTGGGACAGGGCTGGTGACTGCGGGAGCTGTGTCTCGGGCACAGTCCTCGCCTGTACCTAACGGACATCTTGGCATCTCCCCCGCGCGCAGCCATCTCCTGCAGCCTCCCGCAGATCCCAAATGGCGAGCCCACGTCTCCTAAGGCCTCGTATCGAGACAGCGAGAGGCTTCAGTACCAGTGCCTCCCGGGTTACAGTTACAGCGGAAGAGCAGAGACCGTGTGCACCCAGTCGGGGTGGACCCCGCCTCCGTCCTGCCAAGGTAACCGCCTCTTTCTCACGGTGTCTGTTGGGGAGCACCCCATCCACCCTGCGCACGCACTGCACTCTCCGTGCCTCCGCTCATTGCACCACACGTGCTCCCTGTTCCCCTGCGACAGGCAGAGCCCTACCTGCGGAGAGTGAAGGCCTCCCAGGGGCATATATGCTCCCCAAATTTGTAAGAAACGTGGAACTAAATAAAAGACATTTTCAAATAACCTTAGCCGGGATAAGGCACACATTTTCTTCCATCTGGTCTATGCTTTGTAGTGTTGGGGGTCTTAGTTGAGAGTAATTTATCAAAACTTCAGTCTCTGCTGGCCAGCATGGCTGAGTGGTTGAGTGTCGGCCTATGAACCAGGAGGTCAGGGTTCGATTCCCGGTCAGGGCACAGGCCCGGGTTGTGGGCTCCATCCCCAGTGTCGGGCATGCAGGAGGCAGCCGATCCATGATTCTCTCTCATCATGGATGTTTCTCTCTCTCTCTCCCTTTCCCTTCCTCTCTGAAATCAATAAAAATATATTTTTAAAAAAAGACAAACTTTGGTCTCTGCATTCATGAGGGACAATCTCTGACAATAAGTCATTGGCAGGAATGATGAAAAGTACTGAGACAGGCTAAATAAAAACCACCTTCAATCTCAGTTCATCCGTCCCCTGTGCAAACTGGATGTTTCTACGGATTCACAACAGGGAGTGCCCATGTGGGATTATTGTCCCAAATCTCAATGATGGCTTCTCACAGTAGGAACAATGTGGCCTCACACTTTGTACAGTCTCAGCTGTCACTCTTTTGGACAGAGGCCCCGGCCCCGGCAATGTTTTAACAGCACCGTTTACTTTCGTGGAGATGATGAGAGTAGGGAATTACAATTTGTCAAGAGATTTATGCCCACTGCTTGAAAGCAACCACCAGAGGTTCTTCTATTCTTAATTAATTTAACAAAATTCTCCCAATAGTATTAGGTTGGTCTCTTAGGGAAACGTGTGTTTTTGTATATGTCTTGTAGATTTTGACTTCAAACATTGGTGTTAAGTTTAGCTATACTATGAAGTGAAAAGTAAGATAGGTAGACTGGAATGCAATGGGAATATAAAAGTATGATAAATATAGCAGATTAAAGTGAGAGGAAAAAATAAACATTTTAAAGTGTATATTTATTGATTTCAGAGTGGAAGGGAGAGGGAGAGAGAGAGAAAAATATTAATGATGAGAGAGAATCATTGATAGGCTACTTCCTACGCATCCCACACTGGGGAGGTAGCCCCCAACCCAGGCATATGCCCTGACCAGGAATCCAACCATGACCTCCTGGTTTATGGGTCAATACTCAACCCCTGAGCCACACTGGCCTGACAAAAAATAAACATATTTAAGGTTCATTTGCGGTTAGTGTCGATTAACATCAAACTCTGGAGACATATTTTACTTAACACTTGTGTCTAGAAGGTCACATATATTTTCTACTAGTTTTAATATAATAGTTGCTGAGATATATATATATATATATATATATATATATATATATATATATATATATAGACAGGGTGCTCATTTGAATTCCCTTTAGCTCTTTGGAAAGAACAAAAAAATGACATTTACTTTATTCTCATATACTTGGCAATTTTCATATGATTTCTGCATAATTCTCGTGTCCTTGATGATTTCCATATGATTTCTGCATAACACACCTGTACTTTTACTTTTCAGAGATGACATGTGATGCTCCAAGAATTGCAAACAGTCACTTCGTTGCTGACAGGAGCACATACAGAGTGGGAGACACAATCAGATACTCCTGCAAAAGTGGCTTTTCCCCTTCCTCCCGGGGAAATACTGCAAAATGTACTGACATAGGCTGGGATCCTCCTCCAAGATGTAGCTGTAAGTTCCCTCCATATCTTCACCCGCTTCTTAATTCTGCAATGACTTCTCTTAAAGTTAAAAATAACAGGGATCTGCCCAGCTGGTGTGGCTCAGTAGTTGAGCATCAACCTATGAACCAGGAAGTCACGGTTCTATTCCAAGTCAGGGCACATGCCCAGGTTGCAGGCTCCATCCCCAGTAGGCAGCTGATTGATGATTGTCTCTCATTATATTTCTCTCTCTCTCTCCCTCTCCCTTCCTCTCTGAAGTCAATAAAAAATAAATGAAAACTAAAGGGGACCTAATAAGTCCAAATCTTGGCCTCACTGAGAAGGTAACGCAGAGGCTCAAGGCAGGCTTTGATTTCCAAAGTCTCCAATTCTAAGATCAAAACCACATTTTTGTTAATAAGACTTTTAATTTTTGGTATTCAGTGTTAAATATATGTATGTGTATGTATGAATATATATTTCTCTAATTATCTGCTATGTGAATTACAACACTGGGTAAGAGCACTACCACTTAACACCTGGAACATGAGATATTGGTGTCTGTGTAACAAACTCCCCCGAACATACGGCCTCAGACAACAGCCCCCTATGTGTCAGCGTTGGGGGGTCAGGATTGGGGAGCCGCTTAGCTGCCTGGTTCTGGGTCCTCCCTGCTGCTCCCTGGGATGCTGCCCAGGGCGAGGGCAGGAGCCTCCGCAGCCGTCCCCCTGGGCGTCCCCATCGGCGGCCTGAGGGCAGGAACCCTCCCCAGAGCGATGACCTGAGGGCCCTGGAGGCGCCTCCAGAGCATCGATGACCTGGTCACAGGGTCCCCTCAGCCACGTGACCTCTTCAGAAGAGCGCCCCTCAGTCCAGCCTCACCCAAAGGAGGGGCCCGGGGCTCCTTTGTATGAGGGGATGAATGTGGGAGACACTGTGCACTTTCTAAAGCCCCACCTGTCACACACGCCCCTCAGTCCACAGGGCACTTCATTCCTGGGGGGCTGCCCTTTTCCAGTGTTTTCTGTCTCTACCATCTCATTGCTGCTCCTTGTGGATCAGCTCATTGGAAAAGGGGCCCGCACTTAAGCTGGATCTTCCGTGGGTGACAAATGAAATGACACACAGAACAGGTCAATGGGTCAGGATTCATTCAAGGCCAAGGCCAAATGAATGTGGACAGTCAGGTGCCTCTTGACAGACAAGAGGAGGCCATGACCACCGTGACACAGGCCTCAGTGTGCACAACAGTGACAGGGAGAGTGATGATTTATGCAGATAATATTGACCTACAGTGTTGTGTTAGTTTCAGGTGTTCACTATAATGATTCAGTATTTGTATATATTGTGAAATGATCAGAAAACAAGTGTTATTCACATTATCTGAAGATGATAACTTCTCTTGTTCTAGAAAGCCTAATGCAATGAGTATAATTATCGGAATATGAGAGTATAATTCACCAATAGGAACAAGGTATCTCTCATTACATTTTCATTAAGGCAAAGCTTTGTTTTATTTGTTTTACTTGCTAGATAAGCCCTGTGAGTTTCCAGAAATAAAACATGGAAGCCTACATTGGGGAGACTGGTATAGATCACACTTCCCAGTATCGGCAGGACAATGGTATCACTATTCCTGTGATGACAACTATGTGACTCCTTCACAAAGCAAGTGGGATCGCTTGACTTGCACACGAGATGGCTGGTTCCCGGAAGTGCCCTGCCGCAGTGAGTGAACCTCTCTGTCCTGTGCCCGTAGCCACAGTCCAGAGTGGAGAGAGCAAACGTGAGCTCCCTAAGCCTGTGGGGAAAGTGGGTGGAGGATGAGTCTCTGAGCAGAAAGACCGACACTGGCTTTCTCTGTCATCAAGGGTCTTCATTAACAGCACGAGAATAGACATAGATTCTACAAGCCTATCCTTAGCATTTATACATATTTCAATTGTGGAAATTACAGATAAATACCATTTAATATGGATTTTTAAAACATTTGGTAGCAACTGTAGTGTTTCTTAAGTTATGTGTTACTTTTGGATGCTTATGCATTCTTACTTAAATATTATAGACTAGTAGCCCGGTGCACAAAATTTGTGCACATTAAATGGGAATTAATTGGCCCTAACTGGTTTGGCTCAGTGGATAGAGCATCAGCCTGAGGACTGCAAGGTCCCAGATTCAATTCCAGTCAAGGGCATGTACCTTGGTTGTGGGCACATCCCCAGTAGGGGGTGTGCAGGAGGCAGCAGATCAGTGTTTCTCTCTCATCGATGTTTCTAACTCTCTATCCCTCTCCCTTCTTCTCTATGAAAAATCAATAAAATATATATTTTTTTAAAAAAAGGGAAATTAATTGCCATAACTGGTTTGGCTCAGTGGATAGAGCATCGGCCTGCGGACTCAAGGGTCCCAGGTTCGATTCCGGTCAAGGGCATGTACCTTGGTTGCGGGCACATCCCCAGTGGGGAGTGTGCAGGAAGCAGCTGATCGATGTTTCTCTCTCATCGATGTTTCTAACTCTCTATCCCTCTCCCTTCCTCTTTGTAAAAAATCAATAAAATATATTTTTTTAAAAAGGGAATTAATTAGCGGAGATATTCTAATATTGCTATTTGCCCCTTCTCTATAATAGAAGTGTGAGAGATGAAAGGAAATTAGTAAAATGTATATGAAAATAATATATAAGTTTATTAATAAATAAACAGTAACAAAAGGATATAACAACAGAGGCATGATATAAAAACGACAAAAACATGATATGAAAACAACAAAAACATGATATAAAAACAACAGTGATGCAAACAATGACTGATAACGTGATTAAACTTATTCTAATATCTCTCTGTACACCACATTAAGAGTGAAAACACTTTCAGAGTGCTTGACTAATTTCCCTTGTGATGAAGTACTTAGAACTTTAACTGTAACATCACATGCTCTTCAAACTCGAGAGAAAGCAACATATAACTGACCATGTGCAAAAACGGGTTCAGGTAGGAATATGCCTACTTTGTCTAGAGTTTGTCCTTGTGATTTGTCAATAGTCATCACAAATGCTGGCATCATGGGAAACTTGTCAAATCAATTTAAATGGAAGGCCAGTGTCAGATGGGGACTAATTCTTGGAATCAGAACAGCCTCTCCCTCTGCAGATTCTGTTAATACTTCATTTACTATTTCTCAATAGCATGAAGATTGCACCCACTTTCAATTTTAATTTATGACATGGCATTTCCGAAGGAGTAATACTATTAAGAAATTCGATGGGAAAATTTTCCTTTTCAGCATCATCTGTGGAATCAATGGAATCATCACTCAAATAAGTGTGAAAATCTCCATTGAGTATATCCAAAATTTCTTCATTTAATTTTTGAACATGCTCATTTTTTTCGACAAAGAATTGCACACTTAGATATATGTTTAATATTATCTATAGCAATGGTTCTCAACCTTGGCTGCACATTAGAATCACCTGGGAATCTTTTTAAAATCTTGATTCCTGGGCCTCATCCTCAGGAAATTGTTTCTTTGTTATGGGGTGGGGCCCACAACATCAGTAACAAAGAAACAGAATTAAAACTTTATTGTGGGGAGTGGCTACAGTGTTTGGACAGGTTCAAGCCTTGGACTGAGGAGAGGGCACAGTCCTCTCATGGCCACGTGCAAGTCCCAGCTTGGAGGGCAGGGCCCTCCCAGCACAATCATAGCCAACAGCTGTAGCTGTGAGCTTGAACCTATGGTCCGAACACGTGGCCCCACGTGCCTGAGTGATGTGGGCTTGATAGAGTTCAGGTGCATGTAGTTGAGTAGGATTGAAACCCAGGAGGATGTTTGTAAACATCTTGGTCACGCCCTTACTTTGCCTCCTAGCATCTGCTATAAACTAAAGGCATGGCTGTGGGCGTGGTCGCTGTCTCTCAGAGAAGCAGCTTCCCAGGGAGACCCAGCTTTCATTCTCTTGTCTGTCTTTTCTAAGCCTTTCAGCCACCCCCACTCCCAGGGAACCATGCTCCCAGGGCGGGTTCCAGCCTCAAATCCCGCCCTTACAGGAAACAGCTCCAGGAAACAGCTTGGGGGAGGGTGCAGCCTTTGCCCAGACAACCCCTGCAGGACTGACTTCCTTACTCTTAGTCATGGCTGGTCTTCTGGACCTGATGAACACCACCCATGGTTTTTATATGAGTAGATAGTTTTTAATTTATTTTAATCCCATTTATGTGGTTTTTAATCATCATTTTATAATTCTCAGGAAAATGCATTTTCAATTATTTGGAAAATGGACATCGTCCACGATATGAGCAAAGCTATTTGCAGGGCACATCTGTACGTGTTAATTGCTATCCTGGCTACACGCTTCAAAACAAGCAGACCACAATGACCTGTACGGAGAATGGCTGGCTCCCTCCTCCCAGATGCATCCGTGTCGGTAAGAAAACTGGTCTAAGATCCAGTCTGTTTGTGACTGTCTAAGACTCGCCTGTAATAACTGTGGCAAAGGGTTTCTATCAGCTTCCTATTTTGCCAGTGGCCCTACTTGGTTTTATTTTTTCAAGGGTGTATGAGTGGAAATGCCGATTTCTTGATATATCAATAGCAAAATAAAGAAGCCTATTGGTTGACATTAAATTTAAAAACAAAACAGGAAAAGACCATAAAGAGCAAACCTGTAATAACAGTGTCATGAGCAAGATGGCAGATTAGGAGGTTCTGTCATCTTCCCCACAAAGAACAGGGATTCTGACAATCACCCTGCATGAGGCCCCGGGCACCCAGCGAGAAGTTTCACACCCCATTGGAGCCAAGGGCCCACACTGGATGCCCCACAGGCTCTGAGATCAGCAACTTCACCCCGAGTGACTCCTCCCAGAGTGCTCCTCTTGGGTGTTTGAGGTTGGAGACCTCGAGTCCTACTGGCTTGATGTTCCGTGTTGGAAGTCTAGGTTGTTCCTGTCAAGGTGATCTAGTCAAGGCTTGTTGATCAATGGATAAGGCTGGTGTGGGAGCCTTTACACAGAAGAGTTTATTCAGGGTCTGGATGGAGGAGGCCTCTTCTAGTCTCTCTACTAAGTGATTGGTGTTTAAGACCTGTTCCCATGTGACTGATTAATCTGAATGTTTCCAGTGCTGGGTGTGCCCTGGGATCTTGGAATTTGTTGTTTCCTGGCAGCTCTTTCCTCAGTAGTTGTGCTCCGCCCATTCTCAGGGGGTTCCGCCCCCCACTCCAGGGGGATGTATTCACCAAAGAATCTAGGATCGCTGTGCAGGTTTGTAGAGCTCTCCCCCTCATTCCAGGGCTCTTTCCTCTCTGGTTATGGACATTCAGAGTCTGGTGGTGTCGGCCTCTTTGGGAACAGCGCCTTCGTCTCTCCTGTTCAGTAGGACTGACACGTCTGCTTGGGTTTTCCCTTCCTGTGCTGTGATCTGGGAAGTTCCCACCTCCCAACAAACCCTGTGGAGAATGGAGGTCCCATCGGTTGACCCTATGTCTCGGGAACCATAGTTAGGCACTGGCCGTGTCCATACGCCTCACAAGGTCATGTTCATAGATTTGGCTCCGTTTCCTCATTGTGTCTGTGTGGCTGGCACTCTCTTCATTTTTCGTTCCGTGTGTTTATCCATTTTAGTGCATTTTCAAGGAAGCACCGTTTGACTCTGTACGTTCTCTCTTGTTTGGTTTCTAGTTGATTCCTGCTCACATGTTTCTGTTTTCCAGTTGGTTTTCCTTTGTCAGCACGAATGGGGTGTAACTGAACATGGGGATTGCATATGTTTAACGCGGACAGCTTGCTGTTTTGATAGAAGCACACGTGGTGACATGACCACCAGATGGAGCTGCGTAGCACATCCAGCACCTCACAGAGGGGCCATTGCTTCCCATGGGGTGAGAACACTTAAGCTCCACCCTCTTAGCAATACTGACACCCAATCAGGCACAGGACAGGGCCTGTTGCTAGGAGAGCTCTTGTGGGCTGTGGGCTTCCAGATTCATGAGGCAAAACAGATTTTTAATAATTTCTTACAAGGCATCGTCAGTGTTTTAAATCTGGCTTAGTTCCCCCAAATGTTTCTAACATCTAGGTTTAACATTTTTGGAAACTCATAACCTATTTTCTCCGACACAGTGCTTTGAATGATTAGGAATTTTCCAGGTTTTCATTGACAAATGGCCCTTATTTCTTATGTTGTAATGTGTGCGAGTCCTTAGGAAACTGGTTTCTGCCAAACCATATGCTTACTGTTTCCTTACGTTCTCCTTCTTTTAGAAACATGTTTAAAGTCAAAGATAAAAATTGAGAATGGATTTATTGCTGAGGCTGAATCTACATATCTCTTAAATCAAAAAGTAAAATATAAGTGCAAACAAGGTTATGTAACAGAAGATGGTCACACATCCGGGTATATTACGTGTCTCCAGAATGGATGGTCAGCTCAACCCAGATGCATTAGTAAGTCATTCATGACCTTGGTGTCTATTATTTTAATGGCTGTTGAACAAACCTTTACTTTAATTGATTTCTTTTTGGTGGGGTGGTGGAACTGACATAGTTCTATTTGAAAACGCTAAATAAGAAATCTGTGAGAAAATATATGTACTTTTTTTTATTGGTTACAATGAATTACTGTAGGGTAGACATGAGTCCATCTTTCCGTTCAAGGTTTATCCCCGTAAACCATCCTGCGATTTGCAAACTGCCTACGGAGCCTGCGTGCATTCCGCTGTAAGCTCATCCGTTTTGAGCTGAGGTCCTGCCCTGTTTACCTGTTTGCAGGTGATCAGACTTTCCTCTCAGAGTCTCAGTTCCTAGACATAAAAGTTAGGTTTGTAAGTGAAATGTGGGCTCACAGGACACTGGTTAGGGGAATGTCACTTGTGTGATTTATGTGTTCGGTGCTGCAGGGGAGCTCCTCTTCTGAGCAGCCACTTCCTCCAGGAAGCCTACAGGGATGTGCAGTGAGTGGAGACTGTGAGATGCTCCTAGACACAACCAGCGTCCGCGGCGGGGAGGGAGCTCTCTGCTTTATGACCTCGAAGTTTATGAACATTCCCTAGACAGTTCGCTCATTTTGTCTTATTCATCCCAAAGCCATGCGGTGGTAGTTTTCATTCACTTTAAGTGAAGGAGATATTTAAAATGTCCGTTCCTATTGTTTCCATTTCAATATGTACCATGGGAACCAGAGCAAAAATGATGTTGTATCCATATCAGACTCATTGTATATTAAATTGTGGTCAACAATTCATTACAACACTCTTATTAAGGAAAGAGGAAATGTCTATTATTTTTAGTAATATAGTTTTAGTTTTTTTTAACACTTTAAGCTAGCTAACTACATAGTATATTATAAAATAAGAGGTAAATTATTTTAACTTTTATTAACACCACTCCAATATAGTGTTAGTGAAAATTGAGACCATTTTTTAGCATTTAGCTTTCTTATACTAATTATAAATATAGAAGTATATTTATAATCAACCTCCATAAGTGTAAAAGAATATAGTCATTTAAATATCTGAAAAAGCTAAATCAGCATGTGAGCTATAAAAATTAGTATGTGTTAAAGGAGAATTATACAGAATGTTTAATTGTATAAAATGTTAAATTTACACTCACTGGTGAAAAATAACTTTTTAGTTGAATCAATTCATTTTTTTCTGGCATATATGTCACAACTGCTAATAACTTTGGCCTCTACACTCACAAAATGATATTCTTCTTTGCCAAAAAGAAAAAGTACAATGCATCTTTTATGGCCTATTTTATGGCTAACACGGAATAAATGTCTAACGTTAATTGCATTGAGAAAAATGTTCTTAAAATAAAAGTTTTGGTGATTTAAGTGATGGTAAAACTGCTGTGTAGAAACACATGCTTCTCTTATGAGTACCGATTTTAGGACAGTGATTTATCACTAGTATGCATAGATTACTTGTATATGATGCATAACTTATTAGCACATGCTAAGTGATAACGCTTTTTATTCTTGGGATGGAACTTATGAAATTTGATTGTCCGTTAAATAATATTAGAAGTGAAATCTTCAATTCTATTATGCATTAGGATCTTGTGGTGTGCCAGTATTTGAGAATGCCAGAGCCAGAAGTGATGGCACGTGGTTTAAGGTCAATGACCGGTTGGCCTATGAATGCCAGGATGGATATAAAAACCGAGATGGACACACCGTAGGCTCCATAGTGTGTGGTGACAATGGTTGGTCTGATACACCCGCCTGTCAGGGTAAGTACTGATTTCCAGGATCATCGAAATAAACAAAATGTGTGTAAAGCGTGTAATTGTTTTGTTATTCTAAATGCAACCATTTATATTATGTGAACTTAGATACTCGTGACCCAGGTGATGTGTTTTACAACTTCCCCAGCAGTTTTCTCCCCAATTCGTTCTTGCCACCTCCCAGCTGAGTGTTCGTCCCTGCAGGTCCCGAGAGGACTTCCTTACTTCCTGATTGTGGACAGTTCTGAGGACAGTTCCACGAATCCTGCATGTCTGCCAGCCCGCTGTCTGTTTTCTGGGGTTAGAAATAGAACCTCCATCTGTGGGCACATGGGTGGGTCAGAATCATGAGGACAGGAGGTGTAAAACTTTGAAAACCAAACTATCCTTGGGAACTATGAGGGTTCCACTGAGGAAGGGGGTAGCGGGGGCGGGGGGGGTGGAGGCAGGATTTCGGTGGAGATTGGGCCAGAGTGACGGCTGAGGAGATGCAGAGCAGAGGACAGATCTGGGATGCATGTTGGTAGAAAAGACAGTGACCTTACTGAGTGTTGGGTGTCAGGCAGAGTCATCGTCCAGGGACTCACACGTTTATTGTAAATGTTCTCTCAGAAGGAGGCAGGTACGTGGAGGTGGCGTTTGGTCAGGCGGTGCGGGCAGGAGGAAGAGCTCTTGGAGAGGAGCATCTCCACTGTTGACGTGGGCGCATGAGCGTTGAGCCGCCCAGGGACCATCAACATTGGATTCTAAGCTACAGAGTTGAATGTTGAGGCCTGGCCAGTTCAACATATGAGATTCTCACCATGTAAATGGTGACGTCTCATGGGGAAAGAATCCAGAATGAGAAAAGAGGAGACCTCCAGACTGAGTCCTGAAGCATTCCAGCATGCAGATGTCCGACAGGAGAGGAGTGGGCAGCAAAGCAGAGAGAATGAAAGGACTCAGAGAATCAGGAGGAAAAAATGTTGGAATGAATGTTGCCATAGGTGTGGGGAGATAAAAGGATGAAAGGGACAGGAAGTCTGACAGATGGATTCATAGTCTGCGTGGGTTTCAATTCCACTCCACGATTTGCCAAGCACGTGTCTTTGGGCAACACCAAGCTGATCGGCAGCATTGTTCATCCTTCCAGATCTGTGAAATGTTTCCATGTTGACAAACATTCTAATATTTTTAAAAAATATTCTGGTGATTAGACTACATTCTCCATGCCGGCTTCCACACGTACCTAGTATGGGCTCCCCACAGGCTCCTTGATTATGGAAGAAAAAAAACAACAACAATGAAAAAAGTCAAATAATGAATCAAATGATAACAATATACCTAATACATTTTTATATTTTCAAAGGAACGAATGCATCCAAGGACTTCGGAAATGGGAGGGATTGAGGGCTTGTGTCATAGAGGAAGGCATCTCTACACAGAAAGGTTGAGAACCATTCCGAACCGTGCAACAGGGAGAGCAAGGAACTTGATCTCTTAAAAATGTTCAGAGACCATGAAGCCTGGGGTCTGGATCAACAAAGGGAGGAAACGATAAGATGGCATTGGAAGTGTAGGCGTGAAAGAGTTGGGATTTTATTCTATGTAGCAATTGATTTAAATTATTAACTAAGCAAATTTACTGTTTCTCTACTGAAATATATGAGAAATGCCTCTCTGTGAGTGTCCTGGTTCCCCTAGTATATTAAATTAAAATACCAATTTTTATTTAAGCATGCAATTTAAAGTTGTAGCTGTTAGTTTTGTTTTTAATGTGAGAGAATAGTATTGTTTTGATAATACCAAAAATGTAGCATTTAGTTTTACTAATGTCATTGATAAAATCAGATCCACTATAAGCTAGTTAATATTACAAATAAATTTTCAGGACACATCTATTGCTATCACAAAGTCCCAACTGAATGTGAGGGATGTTTCAGACATAATAGATAATGCACTTCCAGGGAGAGCATTTATTTGATGCCTCTCCGTATATGCAACACCCAGCCACTTAATTTTGCATGACATATAAAGTTTACTTGCCACTGGTTAATTATATGTTCTCATTAAATTATTTACCCTTTTTATAGAAAGAGAATGCATCGTTCCCGATATAGAGCAGAACTTAATTGTTCAGCCCCGGAAAGAGAAATATGTCATTGGAGACGTGTTGAAATTCTCCTGCAGAAATAGACTCCTCACTCTCATTGGAGCAGACTCTCTTCAGTGCTACCACTTTGGGTGGTCCCGTAGCCCTCCAACATGTAAAGGTGATTAATTCTCTGCCACCTGCTCAAACAAGAATAAGAATGTTGGACATCAGCTGCCCTTTTTCTCTTAATTTTCTCTTGGCTGCCAGTGTGTCTATAACTCAGTGCATTAAGCCAGGAATGTGTGTTGGATAGTAGATACCTCCCACTTTCTTATTTAAGGAAGTAATCTTTCATTGTTGTTTGGACTATATACTGAAAATCTCCATAGATGGACATACTGTGTGACGCTGGACTGACCTCTTTAGTCATAATTTTTGCATAACTTCCACCATTGGTATTGGACATTTCCATCAGCATGGGTCTCACCTCAAGTTTCCCTGAGAATTTCTAGACAATTTCAAGCATCACTGAGTTAATTCAATGCCATATACAATATAACGTAGAGTTACAATTTGTTGATGAAATACTTGCCTCCAATGATTTTATTTTCCCCAAAAGTTTTGATGAAATGTTTCTGTGGAATGTGAATAGTTACACAATGATATGTGGTCATTGATTTGCATATAAGTTTAGATCTTCTAGAGCAGGGGTGGGGGGCATTTTCTCTGCCAAGGGCCATTTGGATATTTATGACATCAGATCATATAAAATTATCAACTTAAAAATTATCCTACTGTAATTGGTCAAACATTTAATTCACTCACCCCTAATGCCTTGGCAGGGCCAGACCAAATGATTTCCAAGGCCTTTTATGGCCCTGGGGCCAGACGTTCCCCACCCCTGATCTAGAGTATCGAACGTTTCCTAGGCTAACATATATGTCCAATGTGCTAGTTCTATATCTTAACAGAATTGGGAGACATAAATCTGGTGTAAACACCATTCTTTATCCTTCCGCAAAAGAATGCTGTGATAAGTTAGACAATAAGTAATAGATTAAAGAAAAAATCGCTTCATTTTACTGGATTTTCAGTTGTACAAGAGACACTTTAACCTTTAGTTATACAGTATTTCTATCGTAGAGGAAGTACAGTCCTGTGATCAACCTCCTCGACTCCCCAACGGGACAGTGGCAGACACACCTAAAGGGGAATATGAACACGGTGAGGTGGTGGAGTATGTGTGCAACCCCAGGTTCCTGATGAAGGGTGCGAGGAAAATTCAGTGCGTTGATGGAGAGTGGACACCCTTGCCCGTGTGTGTTGGTAATGTATCCAAAATTTCAGCAGTGTTTCTGTTCATATCAAGACCTCACTTACATTTTAAAGTTGAATGTTTGTTTGTGGGATTTTCACAGAGGAGGACAGTACATGTGGAGACGTACCTGAGCTGGACCACAGCGAGGTCGTGTCCCCAGCACGGCCCCCCTATCACCATGGAGAGTCAGTAGCGTTCACTTGCGGAGAAGACTTTACAATGATTGGTCAGAGCTCAGTTACATGTATTAGGGGAACGTGGACCCAACCCCCTCAGTGCATTGGTGAGAAGACGCTTCTATAATTGACAATAACATTGTGATTTTTTATTGTGAAACTCTACATGCAACCGTATTTTTGAAATGTCGGGCTGACAATGATAATGAATCAAACATTCGTTGTTTATACTTCAATAGTGTCTACAAAGGAAAAAAAGAAACTAGCAATAGAATTTGATGTGTCTGTCCCTAATATTGACATTGTTTATACCTATGAAGCTAAATTTTACTAAAATACATATATACAAAATAGGTTATGACTTAAACAACCAATTGCTTATTCTGATTTTTAGTGATCATGCTAAAGATATGCTGAAATATTCACATTCTAAACCCTACAACTTAGATCAACCTTTCTTGTTATTGTACTTTAATTTATTGAAAAAAATACAATAAAACTAGGAAATTCACATAGTCTATTTCCACAGATAAATTTTTTTCCTTTAACACTTCAAGGTTGTAGACTAAAAATAATTTAGAGATGTTTGAGATCAAGAAAAGTGGATGTGAAAATTTGCAGATTTCAAACGGGATCATATTTAGTCATGTATGACTCTTTCCTATGTAGATCACACAAAAGGTGAACCCCAATGTCCTTGCAATCCCCAAAGGGCAACATGGCTTTAGGATGACTATTCTCTCTGAAATTTCAATACTGGACATAGGACTGTGTGTCCAAACATTGTAGCGCACCTCATGCAACATGATCAGGAAGACCGTTGCTGGTGGAATTTATGGACCTAACATCCTATTTCATTAGAGTTTGGACTCTATAGTTGTTATGTTGGGTTTTTTAATATTAGTTGCTTGGATTTTCATAATTAGTGTCTTCAATGGAATATTTTCATTTTACAGCAACAGTTGAACTCAACACGTGTAAATTATCAAAGACAATTGACTCTGAGGCAAACTTGCCAGATGGGAATGACTTTGAGCACAATAAGAAAATCAATTACACTTGTGGGAGGAAGTCAGAGCAGAAACACTCAGTCTGCGTGAACGGAAAGTGGGAGCCCGAGGTGAACTGCACAGGTGAGCTCTTGTTTAGAACATTTCCAAACGGTGATTTTCCTTCCTGCCTGGTACAAGGTGTCTCTTTGTGTCTTAACCTTTTATTTCTAAGTCTGTATTATGACAATAATCTGGGAGCTGGAAAGTAATTTAGAAAATAACCAAAACACTGCTTCTGAATAGTCATTGTATCCTGTGCATTGGTCAGCTGTCAACAAACCACCCGGCAGTGCGGTGGCTTTAAAGTCACATTGGGCAGTGGGTGTGCGCATTCCTATTGGGATCCCATTGCCACCAAGTTCTTACCTTACAGATGTGCCTATGCCTATACCGCGTATATTTATCTAAGCATCTATGGGTGCACGCTCTATCTATGTCTGCATCCCTCTATCTCTGTAGGAATCTACCCATCTAGTCATCTGTCTTTGCTCATTTATCTGTCTGGCAAACACTGAGTCTCATTGCCACCACCAATTCCAATAACAAAGGGTTTATTCCTCTTTTCATATCTTTATTGCTCTTCTTTAACTGGAGGGCACCTTGACCCACTATCCTCAATATTTTTACCAATTTCCATGGGCCTAGAATATACAGAAAGCATTTTACATAAGCTAAGCTACCCAAGATTGATCACAGAAGGTATAAAGGAAAGAACCTACAAGGAAGGCCATGAGAATATAAACCCAATGAGGTATATTAGAGTGACAAACAAGACGGAAAGTATAACATATTTAAACACTGAACAGAGCATTATAGTTTGATCTTTCCAGGTGCATTATTAGTAATCATTTTATTCACTAAATTGTTATTTTAATATTTTGACTTATAATTTTTCATCAAGAAATCTGATTTTAATATTTTTAGAAGCACCACGATGTCCACCTCCACCTCAGATTCCCAATTCTCAACATATGGCCCTTTCAGTGACTTTTCAAGAAGGAGAAAAAATATCTATTCTCTGTCAAGAAAACTTTCTAATCCAGGAAGGAGAGGAAATTGTGTGCCAGGATGGACAATGGCAGTCAATACCGCACTGTGTCGGTCAGTAGTGGGTCGCTTGCGTTACACTGTCTCTCAGATGAGGGTAACCCACAGCCCTGCTTTGTGTAAAGGAACAAGAGGACCCCTTTCCTCTACCCATCCCACTTCATCTCCAAACAGTACACACCATCCAGGTGCAGAAAAAAAATCAGCATTATTTACCTTCTAATGTGAAACGAATGCAAACAGAAACTTCCAGTGACAGAAATACCCAAGTTCTGTTCATGCGTATTTCACTCCTCAAGACAAACAGGAGAGACTGAAGAGGCATATGGGACACATGGACAATAGCATCAATTTTATGGGCACATATATCTTTGCAAGTTTCAAATACTTTTAGTTATTCATAATTTAACATGTTCCAATGTCCTTACTTTAAAGTCCCAGTGTTGGATTTTATTTTTCAATTTAAAAATTATCCTTGTGGGTGACCCTTTAATCTCTATTTTTCATATAGAAAAAACTCCATGTTCTCAACCGCCTCATGTAGAACATGGAAGCATTATTTCATCCAGATCTTCAGAAGACGAAAGAGAAACATTGGAACCCAGGCTATATGCGCACGGCACCACATTAAGTTATATTTGTAAGGATGGTTTCAAATTATCCAAAGAAGATGGGATAACATGCCACCGGGGAAAATGGAGTGCTTCACCACAGTGTGTAGGTGAGGACAGCATGCACACTAAAGTTCTGTTTTGGTGCAGTTCAGTAAGATAGTCCATCGTCACCATCAAAGACATGAGAAATAACTCTTTAGATTTATAAACGTATAAGAGCATTATATTTCATTTATATAGATTATAATATTTTACCAAATTATTTTCTGCATTCACAAATCAAGCCTATTTTTATTTATTTTATTGGTTCATTATGAAATCACTTTTAATTCGGGCATTTTTTCCTACAAAACCTGAAATGTGGTGAAATGAAACCTAACTCTTCATATAAGTGTACCTGTTCATACTCCTACATATTCATATGGGTTGCAATGAAGGATTTGTCGTCAGGTTTTATAAAGATTTATGTCCTCTCTCCATTGTCCATTCTGATCTATTACAATAGAGGGTATTTTTCTTAGGATGATTCTCAATGTGTTTCTTTTTATCGCTCTTAGTTGGTTAGAGAAGCATTGATATGCTCATTCTCAGATTGTTCACAGTTTTCGCTTCAAGTTCTTGCTCAAGCTGACAGCTGGACACACCACCATGCTGGTTTTAAAGCATTGGTGCGCCTTTTCTGTCATGTGATATTAGTGCCTGTGTTTTCATTTTATTTCAAATGAAAGTACCAAATCCGACAACCAGGACATGAAATGAAGTTCAGATTCAGTGAAATACACACTCATTCTTACTTTCCTTTCTTTTCTTTTCTTTCTTTTTTTTAGGCCTTCCTTGCGGACCACCCCCTGAGGTCTCCAATGCTGATCTGCCTAACAGGTTAAACAGTTACCCACATGGGCAAAAATATACATACACCTGTAACAGAGGATTTCGGATCCGTGGACCTGCGTCTGTAGAATGTTCAGGAGGAAATTGGTCCCATCCCCCAGAATGCACAAGTATAGTGTATTTCATTTTCTTCTAAGGCTGATGAATACCTTTAGTTCAGAGTTTCCATGGTACAACTATAAAAATGCATTAATTCTAGAAGATATTTCTAGAAGTTCTGAATTCTGCTAGAGAATTAACAGCAGAATTAATAGTAATATGAGAAGTTTGCCAACATGAGCCAAGTTATTTCATTTGATGTCGTCTGTGTTCACTTTCCATGTGTTCTGATGGGCATCCTCTGACTTCTCATTTCTTCCTGTATCACAGCTGGTCCCTGCTCACCCACCTCATCATTATTCAATTCACTGAGAGTTTATCAGTTGTCTCCTCATAAATCCATAATGTTCTAAGATGTTTGATGTAGCCAGGCCCCCATGGCTCAGTGGTTGAGCATCGATCTGTGAACCAGGAGGTCAGGGTTCCATTCCCAGTCAGGGCACAGGCCTGGGTTGTGGGCTCGATCCCCAATGGGGGTCCTGCAGGAGGCAATTCATCAATGATTCCCTCTCATCATTGATGTTTCTGTCTATTAATTCCTCTCCCTTTCTCTCTGAAATCAATAAAAACATAGTTAGTTGAAGATGTTTGATGTAATTATGGGAAAAGATTTGGACAGAAGCAAAGAAATGGAAATGTGCACATAGTGTCTGTGCCCGTGTGGACAGATAAGAATTTGATTATAAGAAGTTTGGTCTCGGTCATGCCCGGTATGCCCGTCTCCTCAGGCTTTCAACACCACCATCCCCACGTTGCACTTTTGATAAATGTACAATTATTCAATGTAATTGAGTCAAGATGGCTACCATTTTCATGTTATAAGAAAAACATTGTATAGTACACATTGGTTTGGTGTGTATCTATTATTCTAATGTTTAACTATTGCATGAAATGTACTTTAAAAGACTTACTGAAAAGTCTATGTTGTTGCTTTTTCAGAAATGACTTGTCCTAGACCACCCAGCTATGACAATGCCATCCTCGTGGGCCAGCTGAAGAACTCATACAAGCCAGGAGACCATGTGACTTATAGATGTCAAGAACATTACCAAATGGATGGACCCAATGTTGTAGAGTGTAGGGACGGCATTTGGATAGGAACACCCACATGCAAAGGTATTTTGGTGAATGGCTTCTGCCTTCATTAAAAAATAGACGCAGGTCTGGTGAGGCCACATGTAGGAAGGTTTATGCCTCAACATAGAGCAGCAGTTCTCAACCTGTGGGTCGCGACCCCTTTGGGGGTCGAACGACCCCTTCACAGGGGTTGCCTAAGACCATCGGAAAATACATATACAATTACATATTGTTTTTGTGAATAATCATTATGCTTTATGTTCATTTTGTAACAATGAAAATACATCCTGCATATCAGATATTTATATTACGATTCATAACAGTAGCAACATTACAGTGATGAATTAGCCAAAAAATAATTTTATGGTTGAGGGTCACCACAACATGAGGAACTGTATTTAAGGGCCGCGGCATTAGGAAGGTTGAGAACCACTGACAGAGAGGAATGGGATGTGCACTGAGTGCTGGGCATTGGGGCCCCAGAGCCCTCAGAGTGTGACCCCGGAAACAGCCGTGTCAGCGTCTCTGGGGAATCGGTAGAAAGGCAAATGCAGACTCACAGGCTCACTCAGACTCAGCATCAGAAGCCCAGGGATTGTGACCCTGGAACCGTTGTAGCAACTCCCAGCGGGCTCTGCGCCCACTTTTGTGGGGAACCGTAGCTTCAGCCTCTTATTACTTTATATCCACCTGAGTCTCCCCAGTGACCTCACAGTAGTCACTGCAGTGCCCGTAAGCACTCACATTATTGGAGTATTTTTAGGAAACTGTAAATATATTGTACTCTTAGTTTTTCTCAATTTCTGTGTGGATATCTTAAGTAATCATCCTCTTCTTTAGCCATGCGATATTCCTTAAAAGATGTCAATACTTGACTTACTTTCTAGGAACCTGGCTACTCTGCTCATTTTCTAAGGGCCTGAAATTACCATTCAAAAACATGATGTTTGCGAACCACATTTGGCTGCCAAATAATATGTTTATTATGTGTGTCTTGTGTTTAAAAATTCACTTTGATTTTATATCTACATTTATTTTACTAAACTTAAAGAAAAATGTTCAGAAACCCCATCATTTTTTTTTTTTTACTTTTAAAAATGTTTTTATATTTTTATTGAATTTATTGGGCTGCCATTGTTTAATAAATGGTGCTGGTATAATTGGATAGACTCAAGCAAAAAAATGATATTTTACCACTGTCTTATACTTTACACAAGAATAATCTCAAAATGGATTAAAGACGTAAATGCAAGATTCAAAAACCATAAAAATCCTAGAAGAAATAACATGGGCAGTAAAGTCTTAGACATTTCTCATAGTAATATTTATTTTCTGATATATCTCCTCAGGCAAGCAAAACAAAAGAAAAAAATAAACAAATAGGACTACATCAAACTCAAAAGTTTTGCACAGCATATCATCATTTTCATTTCACAAAAAATCTCTATTAACCTTTCAGAGAGGATGAAAAGAAAATTAACGTATAGAAGATTGCCTCTTACCAAAAAAAAATATTGCTTTATCTTTTTTCAATCTGCATGTAAACTTGTGAAGATTTTCAGTCTCAATTGCATCTAAATGATCGCTGCATTAGAGATCCATTGTTTTCTCTTTATTCAGATCTCTCCTGTGGCAGCCCTCCCACAGTGCAAAATGCCTTTATACCAAACCAGAAGACTAGGTATCGACATGAGGAGACAGCACATTATCAGTGCAGGCACCCTTTTGGCCTCTTCGGGAATGCAGTGGTGACATGCTTCAGTGGGAATTGGACAGACCCACCTGAGTGCAAGGGTAGGTGTCTCATTCTCCCCTCCCAGTCTCTGTGCAGCTTCTGTGAGCACTTGGTTACTAGACTCCTGTCCCGCTGGCCTTCATTTGGTTATTCAGGTTGGTTGCTCTATCGTTTCCTGTAACTCGGTTTGGGGCCGGGAGGAGGTGAGTGTAGCTCCCACCTACTCTGCAGCTCCCTTAAAATCAACTGCTCACTCAATAAACAAACAATGTCCTCCATAGAGTCCACAGGAAAATGTGGGCGCCCTCCTGCTATTGACAATGGAGACATTACCACGACTTCATTAGCAGTCTACGCTCCCGGGTCTTCAGTGGAGTATCAATGCCAGGCCTTCTATGAACTTGAGGGAAACAGGAGAATAACGTGCCGTGATGGACAGTGGTCTGAGCCACCCAAATGCTTAGGTAAGTCCTTTAATTTCCGTGTGGACCCTGGGAAATCCGTGTAATGAATGTCATGTTTGCTGTTTACAACAGAACTTGCATGGACAATCACCTATTCTGTTGACTACCAAATAGTCATGTCTGAGGGTATAAACTCTGAAAAATTCTTGGGCAAAAACAGAAACAATTATTTTTTTATTTTAATTTATTTTCCCCATCACCACTTATGCCCCCGCCACGCTCATCCACCTCCACCACCCTCTTCTAGGATTCTTTAATGAAAGCCCTTCATAGCGTAGGTGACATTGTGCATGTTGATTATAACGTGCAATGACCACACATTCCACAGAGTACCTTGTTTTTACATCATTGATAATTTAAAATGAGTTATTCCAACATGAGGGATTTTCAATGAATTTTTTTGGGAAAGCGTTTGAGAATAAATTCCTGGATCTGTGTAGAATGTTCTACATGAAAGTGTAAAATTCTGTGGAAAATATTTGTATACTACTTAAGCTTTTATGTTCCTTTTTTACTTTCAGATGCATGTGTAATATCAGAAGAAGAAATGGAAAAACATAACATAGAGTTGAGATATTCATATGCGAAAAAAATTTATTCCAGAACAAAAGATTTTGTTGAATTTAGGTGTCGAGGTTACTATCGTAAAGTGTCACCAGACTCTGCATTCCGAGTACAATGTCGAGAAGGAAAAATGGAGTATCCCACTTGTGCATAACATGAGAGCTGTGTGGCAGTTTTCACATTAAAATATGTGCCTTCATTCAGAATGTTTTAATATTAATCTCATTCTTCTCAATTTATTTTTCTAGTAGGGTGTAACTCACTTTTATTCATTAATTAGAATTCCTGTTGAATGCCATGTGGGAGATGTCATTGTAATCTGAGACCAACGGACCACTTCTCATAAGCATCTCATTAAAATGTGACAAACCAACATGCTACGTGTTCTGTTCATGAAACGTCATTGGCCAGAAAGTAGATGCCATCTCTCCCCTCCCTGCTCCCACCACCCCCCTCCCGACTTTCTCAGCTTCTCCACAGCTGGGGGCGTTTTGAGACTCTAATTTCAGAGGAAAAGATAAAAAATGTTTGTCTCCATCTTCACCTTAAAGTCACTTCACAAACACGTCAAAACCAAACTGTGTCACACCCATGTTGGCAACAGATGGTAGAGGTTATTACTTAGTTTTGCTTATCTATCCATGGCTCACTATAAACCCCCAAATGATGAAATGCAACATCTACTATCCATCTAGCTCATACAATCATTCTTACAGGTGATAAGGAGGTATTAGATTCTAATCAGGGGCCTAGCTATTGTAACAGGGACATGAAAGCTGATAAAAATGAAATATCGAGTATAAACACAACAACACATTCACCCAGTATGCTGTGAAAAGTGAGCCAGCGTTCACAGAACAAAGACTAGCAGGAAGCACAATGAAACACCTACCATAACTACAGTTCCATTTAGATATAATAGGCGTGGGCATTGGGTTCAATTCTTGTATGCTCCTATTCCTCTATCTTTAACATATATCACCTTGGATCCACAAGAATATGTTAATTTAAATTTAATACATACTAAAAGTAAGACAATACATCCTAAGAAGTATGAAGAACTCTTTCATAATGTTGTGGGCAGATGGTCAGGGTAAACTGCCGGAAGTGAAGTTCATGGATCATCAAGCAATTCCATAGGCATATCTACTTCTTTGCACAGGGGCTGTGGTCAACCTGTTAATGGTTTGCCACTTTGGTAGATAAAACATGGTACCTCGGTGTAGTTTAAGGTGCATTTTGTTAGGAAAGTGCTTCTTTCCATTGAAGATATTTACGGACCCTTTCTTTTGGGTTTTTCTCTTAACTTTCTCATTAAGATACCATCATCACTTTTAATTTCCTCTTCTGTCATAGAAATTAAAGTATTTTCCAAGTCGTTAACTGATTTCCGTGTTCATGTTAATTTTTCTAGGCAGACCTTTTTAAATTGTATGTTCTTATAATTACTACTCATTCTGTGCTTACTCTGTGTGTGGGTGTGTATTTCCGGAATCCCTTCTTCCCATTGGTTAAGGTGTTTATTATTATGACACTTCCACACCATGATAAACGGAGAATATTTGTTATAACTATAGATACTTAAAAATGAAACTTTCCAATTTAGTTCTTTTTAAACATGAATTTTAGAATCATGTTGTCAGTGACATTTAATTTTGGTTAAATAAGAAAATTTTTCTTGGATCAAATTGAAAGCATGACTTAATTGTGAAGAACAGACATCTTACTGATAGTAAGTCTTCAATCCGCAAACACATGGACTTTTTCATTTCTTTGAAATTTTTTTCTCCATCTGTTTTGAAATTTGCAGCGTAGCAATCCTACCAATATTTTGTTGGCATTTTCCTTCATATTTTAAGTCTTTCAACGTTTATAAATGATAGTGTTCTTTTTTAACATCTCATTTTCTAATGTTTGTTTCTAATATAATGAAAATGCATTTGTGTATTAGTTATAGTAGCTCTTTTTTGTGGAATTTTAAAGGTTTTCTACAAATTTATATTTTTTTCTTTCCTTACAGTATTCATGTAGTTTTCCCCCTTGCCTTGGTCTCTGGTGTTTCTCCTTTGAATATTATTTTTTCTAATATTACCATAACCACTCACCTTACAAAGACTTCGTTCTTACAAAGTTTACATTTTCCAGTGTTTGGCTTTCAACTAGTCACTTTAAAAATATATTGTTTTTTTAGTTCAGTGAGGAAGGGAGAAGGAAAGAGATATAGAGGCATCAATGATGAGAGCTAATGAATTAAATATATTTTAACTGATCGGCTGCCTCTGCACACCCCTAATGGGGATTGAGCCCACAACCCAAGCATGTGCCCTAACCAGGAATCAAACTGTGACCTCCTGGTTCATAGGTCAATGCTCAACCCCTGAGCCACACCGGGCAGTCTCAACTGCTAATTTCTTAATATTCATATTGGTCTTTAGGGAAACAGCTCATAATTGGGTTTTCTCTTTGTTCAGTTCTTCTCCATCTTGTTTCTTATTGGCTTGTCATTGTGATTTGCCATCAATAATGACTACTGATGGATGTATTTATGCCATTTGCTCATTGCTTCTCATTTGTGCCACTTTTGCTAGTATTCTGTAGAATCCGCTTCATTCTTTTACATTAGTCTATGCTTTTAGTACTTCATTTCATGCAATTTGTTAGTTATTATGTATTTTTTATAGTTGATTTAGGGCTTATAATATCCATTTTGGGGGCAATCAAATGGTAGTTGATTATTAATGAAAACTGAGGGGATTTGCAAAGCTTTTTGAACTTTGATATTTACTAAGTGACCTGTGTAAACTAGCTTCCCCTTATTTCACTTAAATTCAGAGCCGCTCTAGGTAACTACAGCGGATTTAAACCCCAAACAGCAGCGCTGGACTCTGCGCTAACACACCCGGGAGCCCCACCATGCAGTTACTAGTCACGGTCATCCTCACCCTGTGGGTCTCCTGGGCTCGTGGACAAGGTGAGTTGAAACTGACGTGGGAATATTTAGCTCCTTTTTAAGTAGGATTTAATCGTTCTTAATTTCTCTTTATCTTATTTTTGTTGATTCTCACTGGAGGATATCTTTTCCATTGATTTTTAGAGAGAGTGGAAGGGACAGAGAGAAGGGGAGATGTGATAGATAGATAGATAGATAGATAGATAGATAGATAGATAGATGATAGATAGCTAGATAGATAGATATGGATATAAAAAGACGCATAGATTGGTTGCCTCCCTCACAAGCCCGAACCAGGGCTGGGACCCAACATGCAACCCAGGTACATGCCCTTGACCAGGAGTGAACCTGAGATGCTTACGTGCTTGGGTCCTTGCTCTGACCACTTAGCAAAACCTTCCAGGGCTGTCTTTGTTTTTTTAATGAATTTGCTGGTAGAAACTTTGTGTCTTAAGGTCACAACCTTCACCATTCGCATGGAGATAGTGACCCGGCAGCCCAGTGGCACCTCTGTTCTTATCAAATAACAGTACTGTATTGAGTTGGCAGGTTAAAATAAACCAGAGAGAAAATACGTATATATATCATGATGGGATAATTATCACATACTCAACTCAGGGGAAGTGAAAGCAGATTGTTTGCTGTGCTCTGAGTTCCACAGTGTGAGAGCCACCCCACAGGGACCAGGGAGTCATGTGACAATATTCATCATGAGACCATGACTAGAACACGTCACAGAAAAGCTAGACTATCGCTCCATCCTTGCTGGGGGACTCTTATTCCCAATACAAGACAATTTGGAGAGGGATGGATATTTTCATAATTTTACATATGATGAAAATTTTATAGATAATGTCAAACCATCATCAGGTTATACATTTTAAAAATGTTTAGTATCATACATTTTAACTTTTTAACGTTAATAATAGTTATTAATATTACTGTCAATTAAATATTTTAACAAAAACAGCTATATGTAACGATTTTTTTTAAAAATATATATATATATATATAATTCCCAGTGTAATCTCACTGAATTTTATTTTGTTTTCTGAGACCATGAACAAATGTTGAAACTTTAAACATTTTTAAAAGCACTTGTATTATTAAATTTACAAAAACTTCATTATAATTTTTCTGTCACTTATTTTATCATCTATTTTCACTTTTTTTTAAATTGATTTCAGAGAGGAAGGGAGAGGGAGAGAAAGACAGAAACACCAATGATGAGAGAGAACCATTGATCCGCTGCCTCCTGCACACTCCCTACTGGAAATCGAGCCCGCAATCTGGGCATATGCCCTTGACCGGAATCCAACCTAGGACCCGTCAGTCCCCAGGCCTACACTCTATCCACTGAACCAAACCGGCTAAGGCCAGTCCTCTCATGTTTGAGTTATCATAAATTAGAACTTGAGAGAGCCCATCATGTCTCGTCAAATACCAGGTGTGAGTAGACTGTGCATCACTGTCCACAATTTCATAATTTGTTATGTGCTGGGTTTTGTGTGGTGTTGAATTTGGGGAATTTCCTTACCTAACAATGATCATAAAACAACAAAGCTTCCCTGGTGTCCCAGTGGAAAGCACCCCAGTCCCCGGGTCACTCATAGGAAGGACTCGAGCATCACTGAGTAGGATGTCTGGGAGCGATCCTAGAGCAAACCTTCCGGGGTCCCCAGGGGCAACACTACCAAGTGCCTGGCAGAAAGAGGCTCAGAATAAGTGTGAACAGTCCTTATCAGAACTTCACAACCCCAGGGAGTTGAGGGCAGAGGAAGGCATGAATGATGAGGTCATTTCCGCCTACGGAATATCATGATGGAAGTGATGGCTTTGGGGAAAGAGGCTTCAAGACACACGAGGCACAGATGCTCCAGGTGAGCCATGCGGGAGGGAAGTGAGTGATGAGGGGAAGGATGGAGACCGTGCTCATTCTAATGCCACTTTGCTCGTTGGTAAGAACAAGAAGTGGCAGCCAATGGATTCTTATATAATGACTATATTCAGGGGTAGTGATTTCTGCATAATCCACGTGTCCTTTTCTTTTCAGAAATAACATGTGATCCTCCAATAATTCCAAACAGTGACTTTGCTTCTAAAATGAACCAGTACAGACTGGATGATGTCATCACATACCGATGTAGAAATGGCTTTTCCAATCCACCCCTCCTGGGAAATACAACAAAATGCACTCTTGTAGGCTGGGTACCTCTTCCAAGATGTGTCCGTAAGTCCCATTCAGGTCTTGACCTGCTTCTTCGTTATGAAATTCCTTCCCTTAAACACCAAGAAATGGGGCCCTGAGAGGCCCAGTCCTTGCCTCGCTGAGAAGGGACAGCAGAGGACTGACAGGCGCTCTTTGCTTTTCAAAGTCGCCAATTCTAAGTAGGACAACGCCCCATCAGTGTAAGTGAGAAACCCTTTTCAATTTTGTTCAGTGTTAAGTGTGTGTGTGTGTGTGTGTGTCCAGATAATATAATTCTAATATCTGACCTAGGACATTGGGTAAGAACACCACCACTTAACACCGAGTAGAATAGTAATTGGTTTCTATATAACAAACTCCCCCGAACATACGGCCTTAGAACAGCCCCCACGTGTCAGCGTTGGCAGGGTCAGGATGTGAGTGACTCTCAGCTGCCTGGTTCTGGGTCACTCCCTGCTGCTCCCTGGGTTGCTGCCCAGGTTGTGGGGGAGAGGGCTGGGCTGGGCTGCAGCATATGCTGTCAAGAAGCCAGCTCCCAGGCCTCAGAACCACAGACTCCTGTGTGTCAGCCTTGGCAGGGTGAGGATTGGGAGCTGCTTCACTGCCCAGTGCTGACTCACTCCCTGCTGCTCCAGGGGATGCTGCCTGTTAGGGTCCCGAAGGAGGAACGCAGGAGGCCAAGTGGTGAGGGATTATCAATGTATTAGGTCATCGGGATGTCAGATGGGCTGAATCCCGAATTGGCGCCAGCCCCCAAGGACAGGGAGTGGGAGGTTGTAAAGGACTCTAGGGGGGCTTTTTCTGGGAGGAGAATTCCCTGGGCGGGTCGGATTCTGGGAAAGTCCAGAGGTGGGAGAGGATGGTCTCAGCAAGTGGGATGAGGTCTAAGGGGAAGGGAATGTGGGGTGTGAAGTGGTCTACGGTCAGTTCCCAGGGAACTGGGTTTCGATTCAATTATCGGATCAGACCTCACACTGCCCATGTTGTGGGGGGAGCGGGCTGGGCTGCAGCATGTGCTTCCAAGGGGCCCACTCCCAGGGCGTGCAGGAGCCTCCGCAGCCGTCCCCCTGGGCGTCCCCATCGGCGGCCTGAGGGCAGGAACCCTCCCCAGAGCGATGACCTGAGGGCCCTGGGGGCGCCTCCAGAGCATCGATGACCTGGTCACATGGTCCCCTCAGCCACGTGACGTCTTCAGAAGAGCGCCCCTCAGTCCAGCCTCACTCAAGGGAGGGGCCCGGGCTCCCTTGTATGAGGGGATGAATGTGGGGGACACTGTGCACTTTCTAAAGCCCCACCTGTCACACACGCCCCTCAGCCCACAGGGCACTTCATTCCTGGGGGGCGGCCCCTTTTCCAGTGTTTTCTGTCTCTACCATCTCATTGCTGCTCCTTGTGGATCAGCTCATTGGAAAAGGGGCCCCCACTTAAGCTGGATCTTCCATGGATGACAAATGAAATGATACACAGAACAGGTCAGTGGCTCAGTGTTTATTCAAGGCCAAGGCCAAATGAATGTGGACAGTCAGGTGCCTTAAAGAGGAGGCCATGACCATAGTGACACAGAGCTCAATGTGCATAACAATGACAAGGAGAGTGATGGTTTATGTAGATAATATTCACCTACAGTGTTGTGTTACTTTCAGGTGTTCACTCTATGATTCCATATTTGTATATATTGTGAAATGATCAGGGAACATGTGTTATTCACATCATCTGAAGATGATAACTTCTCTTGTCCTAGAAAGCCTAATGCAATGAGTGTAATTCTGGGCATATAAGAGTATAATTCATCAATGAAACAAGGTATCTCTCATTACATTTTTCTTAAGGTAAAACATTACTTATACTGTGTTTTGTTTGTTTTACTTGCTAGCTAAGCCCTGTGACTTTCCAGAAATAAAACATGGACGCCTATATTGGGAAGGGAGCATTGGACCATACTTTCCAGCATCGGTAGGACAATCGTTTCCCTATAGCTGTGACAAAAACTATGTCAGACATTCAACATTTTTCTGGGGATCAATTACTTGCACACCAGAAGGATGGTTCCCGAAAGTGCCCTGCCGCAGTGAGTGAACCTCTCTGTCCTGTGTATGTAGCAATAGTTCAGAGTTCAGAGAGCAAAATATGAGCACCCCTAAGCCTGTGTGGGGGAAATACAGTCAAGGGAAGCGTTCTATGAGCAGAAAGACCAATATAGGTATTTTCTTTTATAACAGGTCCGTCATTAAAAACATGGGAGATACAAAAAGGACTTTATAACAATATGGGTATCATTTATTCATAGTTTAATTGTGAAAATTATAGATAAATTATCTGTAATATTTGGCTTTTCTCTTTTTTTAATTTGTTAGCAACACTAGTTTTTCTTAAGCTGCATGTTGGGATGCTTATGGATTCTAATATTGTGAAGGTGATTTTTCAATTCATTATTTTGACCAAAATTATTCTTTTTTATCATCATTTTATAATTCTCAGGGAAATGTGTTTTCAATGCTTCGGAGCATGAACAGTTTCCATTTAAAGTAAAAACGTATTTACAAGGCGATACTATGAAAGTTGACTGCCGTCCGGGCTACAGTCTCCCAAACCCACAGAGCACAGTGACATGTACGGAGAATGGCTGGTCCTCACCTCCCAGATGCATCAGTAAGTAAACATCCTGAGATCCAGTCCATTTGGGATTTTTCTAAGACCAGACGGATCACTGTGGAAAGTTCTATGTGTCAACTCTCAAGGTGAATGTACCAAGTCTTCTTTGCCTTCAAACATGACTTAGACCTGTCCATCTACTCAGTCATGTAAACAGGACATTTAGAATTTATCTTTGAAAGTCAATAGTTCCTCTTCTAGATAACCTAGTCGGGAGCTATTATTTCTAGAATATTCTGACTTGGGTATATTAACTTTGGTTTCTGGTCCTGCCACGTACTGGGTTTGCTATCATCTCCAATGGAAGATTGTGTTTGAAAAGTTTTAAATTTTTGATAGCGAATAGATTGTTTCTTTATGGAATTAAGTAACAGTGAGCAGTAAGTCATGAATGGCACAAAATAATGTTAAATGAAACAGAGATTGGGGTCACATACAGCATGTGCTCATTGAAGAATTTACATTAAAAATTTTAATTAAATTAAAAAAATAAATACACCGCCTGCCCAATGTCACATATATATCGCTGTCAGCCATTTCACATTTGATTGCATGTATTCGTGTTACGTGGTTAGAAATGAGGGCTCATATGCAGTTATATCGGGCTTTCACATGGGGTTCTGACAAGTTGTTTTGAGGATGTTGTTTAGAAATGAGAGGATAATTGTTACAGACATTGCTTATACATCAGGATAGAGTACAGCTGACCTTTCATTGGAGCCCTGCATGTTTTAGAAAAGCAGTGATCACTGATTTGAACTGGGAACTCAGGAATCTACTGAGCCCGTGCGAAACAACAGCCTGAGCCCCGAAAGGACTCTCTTTGTCCAGCTTTCCCTACACCTGGTTTACGGGTTGAAATACTTACCATTAATTCACTCAATAACCATTGAGGACTAAGAACAGTTACAGATATTAAAAAATAAGACTGTTTTCAAGAAAAACTAAACCATATGCGACAGAAGGTGGGAAGATTGCCTTAAAAGAACACCAGGAGATACCACTTCTTACATTTTTAAATATTGTTTTTCATTTCAGGGTCTCCCTTTAGTGAAAAAGCTGTACCCTTTGCCACTCATTTTTAAAATCAGTGTGGATAAACTTTCAATTCTGGGAATCATTAGAGGAAAGAGGGTGTTTTATATAAATACATGGATCATATATCCAAGGACTACAGTCTTCTCTAAGACTCACACTCTGATGGTAAAGTTTAGTATTGCCGGAATGAGATTTTCTCAGTTGGATTCTACATGGTATGGCATTAGAAACACAATGGTCACCTTTATTTTGCTTTAGATCATTGTGACATGCCCATATTTGAGAATGCCAGAGCCGTAATCACCAGGAAAACCATTTCGACCTAATGACACGTTGGACTACCAATGCCTGGATGGTTATGAAAACAGAGATGGAAGCACCAACGGCTCCATGGTGTGTGGTGAGGGCGGCTGGCTCCACTTGCCAACCTGCTTTAGTAAGTATTTTGATTCCAGCATTTCCTTTTCCAAGAGCTGAAAAGTCTACATGTATGTTGTCCTTGCTTGAGTGTGGGTGATCTAAGGCATTTTGAACCACATGGTGGTTACAAGGTTTAAAATGCAAAAGAGGGACAATACTTCCTGGGCAGCTTTACATGAATAGTTTCTACAATAAAAGTACAGTTTTTTCTTCAACCGTTAAAATGCTCTTTCTCAGAATCTGCAGACAAGTGTGGGCCTCCTCCAGCGATTAGCGATGGAGACATCACCTCCTTCCCATCGGAAGGGTACCCTCCAGGGTCAAGAGTGGAATACCAATGCCAGGCCTACTATGAACTCCGGGGTCCTCAATATGTAACCTGTAGTTATGCAAAGTGGTCCGAACCCCCGAGATGCATAGGTAAGTTCTCAAAATTCTTCTGGATCCTGAGACCATGAGGGTGATGTTGATGAGCTCGCGTGTGGTCTACTAGTCATGCAGTCAGAGTCTAGAACTGTGCTCACCAACAGCTCTCCTGCTCAATGTTTCACATTCGGAGACTCGTGTATAGGGCTACGAGCTTGGAGAATCCCTATGTGAACAATGATAAAGGTCCTTTAAACAGGAACATTTGGAGAGGCTGATTCTGATACATTAGCTGATCCCACTGTGGACCCTACCTGACTCATCCTCTTCTGTGTATGTGTCCCCTTCTGCGGGAGATTACAGCAAACCCAGTAAGTGGGTAGACTGCAAATCAAGGTTACCATACCCAAGTCAGAATATTCTAGAAATAGCTCCATACTAGGTTATATAGAAAAGAAAGTATTGAATTGCAAAAAAATTCTAAAACTGAAGTTGAAATGACTGAGTAGTTCTCAACCTCCTGGCCCTTTAAATACAGTTCCTCATGTTGTGACCCAACCATAAAATGATTTTCGTTGCTACTTCATAACTGTAATGTTGCTACTGTTATGAATCGTAATGTAAATATCTGATACGTAGGACGGTCTTAGGCAACCCCTGTGAAAGGGTCATTCGACCACCACAGGGGTTGCAACGCACAGGTTGAGAACCGCTGGACTAGATGGACAAGTCTAACACATGTCTCCCAGGACAAGCAAGACCTGCTCCCACAACCTAGAATAGGAAACAATTTTCAATATCTGGGGACATCAAATCAGTTCGGCGACAGAGCTAAGACTGTATTTGAGTCTTGGAATTGAAGTACGCAGAGAGCATTTAAGATCATCAAAGGCAACCTCCAACATCGTGTAAAAAATTACACAGACAGATGGTATATTAAAGCAAAGAGATAAATTTTTGCTTGAAGTAGTTAAGACAGAAAGATCTGAAAAAGTGTTTTGACAGGTATGTAGAACCTACATAATATATATTTGGATATAAACAGCATCTGAATGTACTGAGAAACATTTGAAAATTTTTGGATATAAGAAGTCATATGTGTTATAATGTTTCATCATATAATAGTTAATGGGATATGTTGGAACTTACTTTTTAGCTATTTCTAAAGGCTTACCAATGATAGTGATTACTAAACTAGAATATAAAATACTTGGATCAAGAGAAGAAAAATAGGAGTCCATGATATTGTGAAAATATATCATATATATATATAATGGAATATTATTCAGCCATAAGAATGATTAAATGCTGCCATTTGTGACAATGTGGACAGACCTTAAGAATATCATGCTAAGTGAAATAAGTCAGACAGAAAACATTTGAAACATTGATTTCACTCATATGTGGGGTATTAAAAAAGGAGAGAGAACTCATGGTCATGGACAGCAGTGCAGTGATTGTGGATGGGAAGGGAGTGGGTGGATTTGGAAGAGCGCAGAAGGGGAATAAATAGTGATGGAAAAAAATAATAAAAATTTGTGTATAAAAATGTTGATATTCAAAACCTCTCTAGGTGTGTTTCCTTGCATCCATGCAGTCTAGCTTTACCATAGAGAATGAAGAAGATTAGATAGATAGATAGATAGATAGATAGATAGATAGATAATAGATAAATATATAGATAATTAGATAATAGATAAATAGATATGATGAATGGATATGGGTAGCTAGATGGATGGATGGATATAGAGATATAGAGATGTATTTATGTATAAATTTACATAGTTGTATTTTAATAAAAGATTATTAGAAAGTATATGATTTTCTATGGTTCTCTTTCCCCATTTTTGTGGGCATAAGAGAAAAATATAAACAAGGCTTAACCCAGAAAAACGTAACTAAACTGGGAGCATTTGGAGCCACTGCCCGTTGAGTGGGAAGTGGGCAAGGAAGAACCAGGGCAACCATGGAGCAGGCTCCCATGTCCACTGGACAGGAAGTCACCTTGTGGGTCCCCACATCCCAGAGACAGAGAGCCAAGGCCCTGGGGTCACACTGCCGGGTCCACGCTCATCGTCCACCTGGTGAGCGCTGTGACCTTGGACAGGTGTGCCTGACCTTCCCTTCCCCTCAGCTTCCTGGTGTGTGAGGAGGAGCAGCTGCCTGCTGAGGAGCTGTGAGGGCCCACAGACCCGGGCGGAGAACAGGACTCGGCCCACATTGATGATGTACATTAGCTGTTTTGATTATTTCATCATCTAAATTACTCATTACTTTGAAGTTTTATTTGTTTATAAAAGGAAAGGTTATTTATTGTTTTCATGATTTCTTCTTCCTTCAGAGCCATGTGTAATATCAGAAGAAATCATGAATGAAAAGAACATTCAGTTAAAAAGGAAAGATAACAAACGCTATTATGTAAAAACAGGAGATACTGTTGAATTTATGTGCAAATCTGGACGCAAGGTGGTGACGTCAGTGGAGTCATTTCAAGCCGTGTGTCGGGAAGGGGCAGTGGAGTTCCCCAGATGTGAATGAAGAAGCCCTGTGGCCCCAAATATGTGGCCAGTCCCACCTACTGCTCTTTGCTCAAAGCTTGCCAGTCCTCTGGCATTTCCTGCTCTTTCCCACTATATTTTGAAGGACATGAAGGCAATATGTTAGCCTCCTGTTCAACTTAATCTTCTCCCAAAGATTATCACAAAGTATATCATCACTTACACTTGTACCAAGACAATAATTCTTCACCGTCGTGGGATTCGACTACTTGCCAATAGAGCAATAAACTTCAATGGAGGTAACGGTGTGGCTTTCTGCCTATTGAATCGGATGTTTAACCGGTCAAACAAAGCACGTGAGCTTAGAACAGCCATGGGCAAACTATGGCCCGTGGGCCGGATCTGCCCGTTTGAAATGAATGAAACTATTGAAATAAAAGACCGTACCCTTTTATGTAATGATGTTTACTTTGAATTTATATTAGTTCACACAAACACTCCATCCATGCTTTTGTTCCGGCCCTCCGGTCCGTTTAAGAACCCATTGTGGCCCTCGAGTCAAAAAGTTTGCCCACCCCTGCACCAAGAGGACCAGTTCCTTCAGGGTCAGGGCCCATGGCCTGGTAATGGGCTCATTCCCCAGTAGGGGGCGTGCAGGAGGCAGCAGATAGATGTTTCTCCCTCATCCTGGATGTTTCTCTCTCTCTCTCCCTCTGCCTCCTTCTTTCTCTAAAGGGAAATAAAACATGTGAAAAACATTGAATGCCATGAATGTGCGGAATTCTTGGTCTTGGTGGTGTGGTCTGTTGTGAGTTTACAAAAACATCAGTGCTGTCCTACAGACAGGAACGTACACTGTGTGGACACACGGGGTGGTGTCCCTAGACCCCTAGGACTGCAGTTGGGAAAGAGCAAAGGGAGGACAAAAGTCACAGGGACACGCAGTCAGAGCTATTCCCATGTGAATCCCCTGGTTGAGAAAGAACCTCACCCATTTTTATTAAGTGATTAATTTAAAAATTAGAATCTTGGAGCCAATTTTTAACTTTATAAGGAAAGTTGGACAAAAACAAGTTAGGGAATTGAAATCATTCATGGGAATTGAGGGCCTTAGCAAAACTCTTTGAAATTTGATATCTACTGAGTGACGTCAGTCAACTAGCTTCCCGGTACTGTCACTTAAATTCAGAGCCACACTTGGAAAGGGCTCATAATGCAGATTTAAGCCCCAAACAGCAGCCCTGGACTCTCTGCACTAACACACCCGGGACCCCGCCATGCTGTTACTAGTCAAGGTCATCCTCACCCTGTGGGTCTCCTGGGCTCATGGACAAGGTGAGTTGAAACTGACCTGAATATTTAGCTTCCTTCTTAGGTAGGACTTTTCCCCTTTTCATTTGTCTTTGATTTTTTTTAATCCTCACCGGAGCATATTTTTCCATTGATCTTTAGAGAGTGCGTGGAAGGGAAGGGGAAGGGGGAAACATCGATGTGAGAGAGACATATGGACTGGTTGCCTCCTACACATGCCCCAACTTGGGCATGGGATCCAACCTACAAAAAAATTATGTGCCCTTGACCGGGAATTGAAACAGGGACCCTTGTTCTGTAGGCCAGTGTTCCTACCACTGAGCCAACTGGCCAGGGCTGTCTGTAATATTTGAATGAACTGACTTGAAAACAAAATAATTTTTGGGAACTATCAGGGATTCTACTGAGGAAGGGGGAGAATTTTAGGTGGAGCTTGGGCCAGAGTGATGGCTGAAGGAATGCAGAACAGAGGACAGGTCTGGGATGCATTTTGGTGGTAGCAAACACAGGTAACATTACTGAATGTTGGGTGTCAGAGTAATCGTCAAGGGACTCACATGTTTATTTTAAACTAGAGGCCCGGTACAGGAATTCATGCATGGATGGGGTCCAGTCTCTCCGCCCCCATCTCGGCAATCAGGCCAGCCAGGGGGAGGGACCTGATAAGGGATTTATTATGAATATTGAGGGTTTACAGATTCATTTTGAATGTAAATAATTGATGTTTGGTTTACTAAACTTCAAGGAAAATGTTCAGAAAAACTGTCTTTTTCTCTTTATTTCTATTACGTCTTAAAATTCTTTTCTTAAAGTTCTTGGGGTGGCATTGGTTAATAATTGGTGGTAGGAAAATTGGACAGATACAAGCAGAAAAATGAAATTGGACCACCTTCTTACACCAAAAACAATAATAAACTCAAAATGGATTAAAGACTTAAATGTAAGGTGTGAAACCATAAAAATCCTAGAAGAAATCATAGGCAGTCAAATCTCAGACATTTGTCCCAGCACGATCTTTTCTGATATATCTCCTCGAGCAAGGGAAACAAAACAAAAAAAAAATAAACAAATAGGACTACATGAAACTAAAAAGTTTTGCACGGCATAATCATCATTTTCATTGGCCTAAAAATCTCTATTAACCTTAGAGAGAGGACTGGAAAGAAACTTAAGATATAGAAGCTTAACTCTTACCAAAAAAATTTTGCTTTGCCTTTTATATTCAGTCTTCCATGTAACATTATGAAGATTTTTAGTCAGAATTGCATCTAAATGATCGCTGCAGTAGACATCTATTTTTCTCTTTATTCAGCTCTCTCCTGTGACAGCCCTCCCACAGTGCAACACCCAAGCCTGAAAGGTGTGCTCTGCTTCCCTGGAGAGAAATGATGCTTTTATGTTTGTTTTGGGGAGTTCTTTTCTGTTCATTTTGTTTTTTTCCTTTTTTTTTTCTTTATAAAGACTTTATTTTTTTTAGTCTTTAGTTTTAGGTTCACAGAAAAATTAAGAAGTTACAGAGATTTCACATATATCCCTTGCCCCCACACATGCATGATCTTCCCTATTATGAATATCCCCTATAGGCTGGTACATTTGTCACAACGGATTGACACGTCATAATCACCCAAAGTTCACTCTTGGTGTTGTACATTCTATGGGTTTGGACAAATGTGTAGTAATAATGACATATATTTTCACTGTAGTATCGTACGGAGTAGATTTACTGGCCTAAAGATCCTCAGTGTTCCACTCAGCACTCCCGTCCCCCAACCCCTGACTGTTCCAGAATTTACCAGGAGACCGAAAAATATGCAGGAGTATCGGAGATAGAGGAAAAACCCATTTATTTTCAGATGTTTCACATGTACTAGTACAGTGACTCAGGGGAGACTGTTCCTCTCCAAATCCTGAGCAAACCAATATGGAGGAAGCTCTCCCGTTATACCCTTTGGTTTCTCTGTCCCCCAAATATGCGTGGGACTTCCGGACCTTTCACAGGCATTGCAAAAAGCCCCATGTGTTGGATGGAGGCTGTGAGACCACACCTAAAGGCGTGGCCTGGTGCCAGTGCTGATAACCCCCCTGGGGGTTGTGTATTGTTCATGGTTTATGGCTTCTGTAAAATGGGAGTATTTAGGTAAACAGATCTTACAAGACCAGAGTGTGGAGAAAGGGGCAGTGACTTAATGACAGGATATCAAGAATGTGCATTAGGTTACTGGCACAGATTCAGATTGCTAGGCCCCCCAAAATGTATTATTTTCCCCATCATGACAACCACTGATCTTTTTACTGTTTCCATAGTTTTGCCTTTTCCAGAATATCATATGCTGGACTCATACAGTATGTAGCCTTTTCAGATGGCTTCTTTCACTTAGCATTATGCATTTAAGTTTCCTCCTCGTCTTTACAGCTGGGTACCTAATTTCTTTTTAGCTCTGGATAATATTCTGCATGTATCACAGTGAATTGTCCATTAACCTACTGAATAACATCTTGGTTGCTTCCAAATTTTGTCAATTAAAAATAAGCTGCTATAGAAAAAAATTAAATAAAATAAAATCATAAAAAATATATTTTTTAAAAAAAAAAAGAAAGAAATAGTTGTAGCCCTGGCTGGTGTGGCTCAGTTGATTGGGTGTCATCCCAGGTACCAAGAAATCGCTGATTTGATCCCAGTCAGGGCACATGCTGGGGTTGTGGGCTTAATCCCCAGTAGGAGACATGCAGGAGGCAGCCAATCGATCTCTCTCTCTCTCTCTCTCTCTCTCTCTCTCAAAATCAATAAAAAATTTAACTTAAGATATAGAAGCTTAATTCTTACCAAAAAATTTGCTTGATCTTCTTTTTTCAATCATGTGTGTAATCTTATGAAGATTTTCCATCTCAATTGCATCTAAATGATTTCTGCATTAGAGATCCATTGTTTTCTCTTTATTCAGGTCTCCCCTGTGGCAGCCCTCCCTCAGTGAAAAATGCCTTTATACCAAACCAGAAGCCTAGGTATCGACATGGAGACACAGCACGTTATGAATGCAGGCACCCTTTGGGCCTCGTTGGGAATGCAGAAGTGACATGCTTAAGAGGGAAGTGGACAGACCCACCTGAGTGCAAGGGTAGGTGTCTCATTCTCCCCTCCCAGTCTCTGTGCAGCTTCTGTGAGCACTTGGTTACTAGACTCCTGTCCCGCTGGCCTTCATTGGTTACTCAGGTTTGTTGCTCTATCGTTTCCTGTAAATCGGTTTGGGGCCCTGAGGAGGTGAGTGTAGCTCCCACCTACTTTGCAGCTACCCTACATTCAGTAAATCAAACATTATCCTCTCTTAGAGTCTAAAGGACAATGTGGGCCCGCTCCTTCTAAGGAGACATTACCACATTCCCATCACCAGTCTATGCTCCGGAGATGTAGCCAGCCCCACATGGCTCAGTGGTTGACCATCAACCTATGAACTAGGAGGTGACAGTTCACATCCCCAATGTGGGATGTGCTGGAAGCAGTCCATCTGTGAATCCCTCTCATCGGTGATGTTTCTACCTCAATCCCTCTCTCTTCCTCTCTGAAATCATTAAAAAGATAGTCAATTGAATATGCTTAATGTTATTATTGTAAAGAGATTTGGACAGAAACAAAAAATATATGTACATAGTGAGTGTGACCTGTGTGGACAGATAAGAATTTGGATGTTAGAATTTGGTCTGGATCATGACCCGTATGCCCATCTCCTCAGGCTTTCAATACCACCATACCCAGGGACACCTTTGATAAATGTAAAATTATTCAATGTAATTGAGTCAAGGCTCCTTGAATTTTCAAGTTATAAAGAAAACATTGTACAATAGGCATTAGTTTGGTGTGTATCTCTAATTCTAAAATATAATTATTTGCCAACATGTACTTTTAAAGATTTACTGAAAAGTCTATGTTGTTGCTTTTTCAGCAATGACTTGCCCTAGCCCACCCAGCTATGGCAATGCCATCCTCGTAGGCCGGAAGAAGAAGAACTCATACAAGTCAGGAGAACAAGTGACTTATCGATGTCCAAAATATTACCAAATGGATGGATCCAGTGTTGTACAATGTATGAATGGCAGGTGGATAGGAACACCCACATGCAAAGGTATTTTGGTGAATGGCTTCTGGCTTCATTAAAAAATAGACGCAGGTTCTGGTGAGGCCACATGAAGGAAGGTTTATGCCTCCACGTACAGGAACGGGATGTGCACTCAGTGCTGGGCATTGGGGCCCCAGAGCCCTCAGAGTGTGACCCCGGAAACAGCCGTGTCAGCGTCTCTGGGGAATCGGTAGAAAGGCAAATGCAGACTCACAGGCTCACTCAGACTCAGCATCAGAAGCCCAGGGTTTGTGACCCTGAAACCGTTGTAGCAACTCCCAGCGGGCTCTGCGCCCATTTTGTGGGGAACCATAGCTTCAGCCTCTTATTGCTTTGTATCACCCGAGTCTCCCCAGTGAACCTCACAGCGCTCACTACAGTGCCCTTAAGCACTCACATTACTGGAGTATTTCTTGTAAATATATTTTACTCTTATTTTTCCTCAATTTCTGTGTGGATCTTTTGATTTTTAATCTTTATTGTTGAAAGTATTACAAAAGTCCACTTTTCTACCCATTGACCCCTTCTAGCCTGGCCCTGGCCACTCCCCAGTCTTTCACCCCCCTGTTGTCTGTGTCCATGGGTTATGTGAATGCATACAAGGTCTTTGGTTGTCTCTTCCTCTCCTTTCCACCGCCTCCATCGCTCTGAGATTCCACAGTCTGTTGCTGTTTGGATCTTTTAAGTGATGATCTTTTCCTTCAATTAAATGGTATCCCTCAAAGCCTGTTAATTCTTGACTTCCTGTCTAAGAAAGAGGCTATTATCGCTTACTATCTAAAGGCCTAAAATAAACATTCAAAAACATGATGTTTGAGAAACACATTTTGATGCCAAATGAGGGATTGATTATGAATATCTAGGGTTTAGAAATTCATTTTGAATTTATATAATTGATGTTTGGTTTATTAAACTTAAAGGAAAATATTCAGAAGAACTATCATTTTCTTTTTTCAATCACTTTAAAAAATTCATTTTAATTTTTATTGAATTTATTGGGATGGCATTGGTTAATAAATATTGCTGGGAAAATTGGACAGACACAAGCCAAAAAAAAAGAAAGAAATTGGACCACCTTCTTATACCAAAGACAAGAATAAACTCAAAATGGATTAAAGACTTAAATGTAAGGTGTGAAACCATAAAAATCCTAGAAGAAATTATAGGCAGTCAAATCTCAGACACTTCTCCCAGCACGATCTTTTCTGATATATCTCCTGGAGCAAGGGAAAGAAAAGAAAAAAATAAGTAAGTCTACATGAAACTAAAAAGTTTTGCACAGCATAATCATCATTTTCATTGGCCTAAAAATCTCTATTAACCTTAGAGACAGGATGGGAAATAAATTTAAGATACAGAAGCTTAACACTTACCCAAAAAAATTGCTTTATCTTTTTTCAGTCTTGCATGTAAACTTGTGAAGATTTTCAAGCTCAATTGCGTCTAAATGATCGCTACCTTAGAGATCCATTGTTTTCTATTTATTCAGATGTCTCCTGTGGCAGCCCTCCCCCAGTGCAAAATGCCTTTATACCAAACAAGAAGCCTAGGTATCAACATGAGGAGACAGCACATTATCAGTGCAGGCACCCTTTGGGCCTCCTTGGGAAAGCAGTGGTGATATGCTTCAGTGGGAAGTGGACAGACCCACCTGAGTGCAAGGGTAGGTGTCTCATTCTCCCCTCCCAGTCTCTGTGCAGCTTCTGTAAGCACTTGGTTACTAGACTCCTGTCCAGCTGACCTTCATTTGGTTACTCAGGTTTATTGCTCTATCATTTCCTGTAAATCCATTTAGGGCCGGGAGGAGGTGAGTGTAGCTCCCACCTACTCTGCAGCTCCCTTAAAATCAACTGCCCACTCAATAAATCAACAATATCCTCTCTTAGAGCCCACAGGACAATGTGGGCCCCCTCCTGCTATTGACAATGGAGACATTACCACGTATCCATTAGCAGTCTACGCTCTCTGGTCTTCAGTGGAGTATCAATGCCAGGCCTCCTATCAACTTAAGGGAAACAGGAGAATAATGTGCCGTGATGGACAGTGGTCTGAGCCACCCAAATGCTTAGGTAAGTCCTTTAATATTCCTGTGGACTCAGAAAATCAGTTTTACTGTTTATGATAAAATTTTGATGAATTATTAAACAATTCTACCCTAACCAGTTTGGTTCAGTGGAAGAGCTTTGGCCTGATGACTGAAGGGTTCCAGGACTGATTCTGGTCAAGGGCACATGCACAGGGTGCAGGCCCCATCCCTATTGTGGGGGATGCTGGAGGCAGCCAATCGATGATTCCCTCTCATCATTGATGTTTCTATCTCTCAATCCCTCTCCCTTCCTCACTGAAATCAATAAAAACATAGTCAATTGAATGTGTTTGATGTAATTATGGGAAACAAATTTGGACAGAACCAAAAAATATATGTACGTAGTGTCTGTGGCCCGTGTGGACAAATAAGAATTTGGATGTAAGAAGTTTGGTTTGGATCATGACCTGTGTGCCCATCTCCTCAGGCTTTCAATTCCACCGTCCCCACGTGACACGTTTAATAAATGTAAAATTTTTCAATGTAATTGAGTCAAGATGTGCTGGGGTCCAACCCCATCAGGTCCAGGGGTCACCAAAGGTGTGGACTGGGTCGGCGAAGAAGGAATGACAGAGAGATATCGTTCAGTTGATCAGCAGCCTAGCCAGGATCTCTAGCCAAGTTCTGGTCAGGATCTCCAGTGAAGTTCTGGTTAGGATCTCCAGCCAGGTTCTGTGTCCATGTTCTCTTGCTAGCTTCTCCAGCCAGGTTCTATAGCCATGTTCCCTCGCTAGGTTCTCCAGCCAGGTTCTGTCCAGGTTCTCCTGCCAGGTTCAGTCACCAGGTTGTAGTCAGGTTCTCTTGCCATGTTCTATCCAGGTTCTGTAGCCAGGCTCTGTCTCTAGGATCTTTTGCCAGGTTCTCTTGCTAGGTTCTGTCTCTAGGGGTCCCTGTTCGGGTGCCAGATGCTGGGGTCCAACCCCAGCAAGTCCAGGGGTCCCCAAAGGTGTGGACGGAGTCAGCGAAGAAGGAATGACATGGAGACAGCATTCAGATGATCATCATAGCAAGGTTCTCTAGCCAGGTTCTAGCCAGGTTCTCCAGCCAGGTTCTCCAGGTTCTGTCTCTAGGTTCTGTGTCCTGTTGTCTAGTTACATCTGTGTTTATACCAGTTGATTCCAATCCTATCAATCTCTATTCCAAAGGTTAAGGCGTTTCTTATCTCCATTCCAGGGAGTAGAGATTATGTAGCTTAAGCATGATTGTTCGTAAAGTGATTAACTACCCACCTGGCACTTAGTTAAGGGGTTTTATCCCCTCCCTAATTTCAGGGAAAAATCCCTACCTGGAGAAACAACCTTTCTCTGAGAGGTGACCTTGGTTAAAACACATAGCGCTAAGGGGAGCAAACATATTAAGAACAGTATGCCATATATGCCAGGTCCCTTGAAACATATGCTATGCAGATGTTTCTTTCCTGCAGCGACTGTGTCAAGCAGCAAGGATGGACCAGCTTCCAGCAAAGATGGTGAACAAGTTTTAAGAAAAATATTTTTATAACATTTTCAAGTTATAAGACAGACATTGTACAGTAGGCTTTAGTTTGGTGTGTATCTATTATTCTAGAGTATAATTATTGGCCGACATGTTACAGATTTACTGAAAAGTCTATGTTCCTGCATTTTCAGAAAGGACTTGTCCTAGCCCACCCAGCAATAACAACGCCATCCTCGTGGGCCAGCCGAAGAACTCATACAAGTCAGGAGAACACGTGGCTTATACATGTCCAGACTATTACCAAATGTATGGATCCAAAGTGGTAGAGTGTAGGGACGGCATTTGGATAGGATCACCCACATGCAAAGGTATTTTGGTGAATGGCTTCTGGGTTCATTAAAACATAGACACAGGTTCTGGTGATGCCAGATCAAGGAAGGTTTATGCCTCAGCAGAGAGGAATGAGATGTGCATTGAGTGCTGGGCACTCTGGTCCCAGAGCCCTCAGAGTGTGACCCCGGAAACAGCCGGGTCAGCGTCTCTGGGGAATCGGTAGAAAGGCAAATGCAGACTCACAGGCTGACTCAGACTCAGCATCAGAAGCTCAGGGTTGGGACCCTGAAACCGTTGTAGCAATTCCCAGCAGGCTCTACGCCCATTTTTGGGGGACCGTAGCTTCAGCCTCTTATTACTTTGTATCCACCCGAGTCTCCCCAGTGAACCGCACAGTGCTCACTGCAGTGCCCTTAAGCCCTTAAGCACTCACATTATTGGAGTGTATTTTGATGAAATTATAAATTCATTCTTCTATTTTCCATAATTTTATTTTGGATTTTTTTTTAAACTTTATTGTTGAAAGCATTGCCCCTTCTAGCCTGGCCCTGGTACCTGACCCAGTCCTTCACCCCCTGTAGTCTGTGTCCATGGGTTATGCATGAATGCATACAAGGTCTTCTTTTATTCTCTTCCCACCCACCCATCCTCCCTCACCTTCCCTCTGAGATTCCACAGTCTGTTTCTGTTTGGATCTTTTAAGTGATCATTTTGTTCCTTCAACCAACAATATGACATCCCTCAAAGACTGTTAATTCTTGACTTACTCTCTAAAAAAGTGGCTACTGTGCTTATTTTTCTAAAGGCCTAAATTCAAAATTCAAAGACATGATGTTTGCAAAATATTTTTGGGAGTCAAATAATGTATGTATTATGAGTTTCTAGGGTCTAGAAATTCATTTTAAATTTATATCATTTATGCTTGGTTTACTAAACTTAAAGGAAAATATTTGGAAAAACCGTCACTTTCTTTTCATTCTATGACTTTAAAAAAAAAAAATTGAATTTATTGGGGTGACATTGGTCCATAAATGGTGTTGGGAAAATTGGACAGATACAAGCAAAAAAAAAAAAGAAAGAAAGAAATTGGACCACCATCTTACACCAAAACCTACACATTGCTCATTGTAGTGATTAAAGTCTTACATGTAAAATATGAAGTCATAAAAATCCTAAAAGAAATCATAGGCAGTCAAATCTCAGACATTGCACATAGCAATATACTTGCTGATATATCTCTCCGAGCAATGGAAACGAAAGAAAAAAGTAAACAAATAGAACTACGTCGAAATAAAAAGTTTTGTACAGCATAATGATCATTTTATTGGCCTAATTATGCCCATTACCTTCAAGAGAGGATGGGAAAGAGCTTTAAGATATAGATGCTTAACTCTTACTAAAAAAAGTTAAAAAAAAAAAGGCTTTATCATCTCTATTGAATCCTGCATATGAATTTATGAAGCTTTTCAGTCTCAACTGAGTTGTAAACACTCACTGAATTAGAGATCCATTTTTTTCTCTTTATTCAGATCTCTCCTGTGGCAGCCCTCCCACAGTGAAAAATGCTTTTATACCAAACCAGAAGACTAGATATCAACATGGGGACACAGCACGTTATGAATGCAGGCACCCTTTGGGCCTCTTCGGGAAAGCAGTGGTGACATGCTTCAGTGGGAAGTGGACAGACCCACCTGAGTGCAAGGGTAGGTGTCTCATTCTCCCCTCCCAGTCTCTGTGCAGCTTCTGTGAGCACTTGGTTACCAGACTCCTGTCCCGCTGGCCTTCATTGGTTACTCAGGTTTGTTGCTCTATCGTTTCCTGTAAATCGGTTTGGGGCCGGGAGGAGGTGAGTGGAGCTCCCACCTACTCCGCAGCTCCCTTAAAATCAACTGCTCATTCAATAAATCAAACAATATCCTCTCTTAGAGTCCACAGGACAATGTGGGCGCCCTCCTGCTATTGACAATGGAGACATTACCACATATACATCACCATTCTACGCTTCGGGGTCTTCAGTGGAGTATCAATGCCAGGCCTACTATGAACTTGAGGGAAACAGGAGAATAACGTGCCGTGATGGACAGTGGTCTGAGCCACCCAAATGCTTAGGTAAGTCCTTTAATATTCCTGTGGACTCTGAGAAAATCAGTTTTACTGTTTATGATAAAATTTTGATGAATTAATGAACAATGCTAGCCCTATCCGGTTTGGTTCAGTGGAAGAGCTTTGGACTGAGACTGAAGGGTTCCAGGACTGATTCTGGTCAAGGCACATGCCCAGGTTGCAGGCTCCATCCCCAGCGTGGGGCGTGCTGGAGGCAGCCAATCAATGATTCCCTCTCATCATTGATGTTTCTATCTCTCAATCCTTCTCCCTTCCTCACTGAAATCAATAAAAATATAGTCAATTGAATGTGTTTCATGAAATTATGGGAAACAAATTTGGACAGAACCAAAAAATATATGTACATAGTGTCTGAGGCCCGTGTGGACAAATAAGAATTTGGATGTAAGAAGTTTGGTCTGGCTCATGACATGTGTGCCCATCTCCTCAGGCTTTCAATTCCACCATCCCCACGTGACACCTTTAATAAATGTAAAATTATTCAATGTAATTGAGTCAAGATGGTGAACAAGTTTTAAGGAAACATTTTTATAACATTTTCAAGTTATAAGGGAGACATTGTACATTAGGCTTTAGTTTGGTGTGTATCTATTATTCTAGAGGTTAATTATTGGCCTACATGTTAAAGATTTACTGAAAAGTCTATGTTCTTGCCTTTTCAGCAATGACTTGTCCTAGCCCACCCAGCTATGACAACGCCATCCTCGTGGGCCAGCCGAAGAACTCATACAAGTCAGGAGAACAAGTGGCTTACACATGTCCAGACTATTACCAAATGTATGGATCCAATGTTGTAGAGTGTAGGGATGGCATTTGGATAGGATCACCCACATGCAAAGGTATTTTGGTGAATGGCTTCTCCCATCATTAAAAAATAGACGCAGGTTCTGGTGAGGCCAGATGAAGGAAGGATTAGGCCTCAGCAGAGAGGAATGGGATGTGCACTCAGTGCTGGGCATTGGGGCCCCAGAGCCCTCAGAGTGTGACCCCGGAAACAGCCGTGTCAGTGTCTCTGGGGAATCGGTAGAAAGGCAAATGCAGACTCACAGGCTCACTCAGACTCAACATCAGAAGCTCAGGAGTGTGATCCTGGAACCGTTGTAGAAACTCCCAGTGGGCTCTGCGCCCACTTTTGTGGGGAACCGTAGCTTCAGCCTCTTATTGCTTTATATTCACCAGAGTCTCCCCAGTGAACCGCACAGTGCTCACTGCAGTGCCCGTAAGCACTCACATTATTGGAGTGTATTTTGATGAAATTATAAATTCATTGTTCTATTTTCCATAATTTCTGTTTGAATTTTTTTTTAACTTTATTGATGAACGTATTACAGAAGTCCACTTTCCCCACCCCTTTCCCCTCTAGCCTCGCCCAGGTTTCCCGCCCATTCCTTCACCTTCCTATTGTCTGTGTCCATGGGTTATGCATGAATGCATACAAGGTCTTTGATTATTCTCTTCCCACCCACCCATCCTTTCTCACCTTCCCTCTGAGATTCCACAGTCTGTTGCTGTTTGGATCTTAAAAGTGATCATTTTGTTCCTTCAACCAACCATATGATATCCCTCAAAGCCTGTTAATTCTTGACTTACTCTCTAAGAAAGTGGCTACTGTGCTTCATTTTCTAAAGGCCTAAATTCAAAATTCAAAGACATGATGTTTGCAAAATACTTTATGAAGCCAAATAATGTATGTATTATGATTTTCTAGGGTCTAGAAATTTTTTTAAATTTATATCATTTATGTTTGCTTTACTAAACTTAAAGGAGAATGTTCAGAAAAACCATCACTTTCTTTACATTCTATGACTTTTTTAAAAAAAAAAATTGAATTTATTGGGGTGACATTGGTCCATAAATGGTGTTGGGAAAATTGGACAGATACAAGAAAAAAAAAAATTAAATTTGACCACCATCTTACACCAAAACCTACACATTGCTCATGGCAGTGATTAAAGTCTTAAATGTAAAATATGAAGTCATAAAAATCCTAGAAGAAATCATAGGCAGTCAAATCTCAGACATTGCACATAGCAATATACTTGCTGATATATCTCTCTGAGCAATGGAAATGAAAGAAAAAAGTAAACAAATAGAACTTCGTCAAAATAAAAAGTTTTGCACAGCATAATCATTATTTTATTGGCCTAATTATGTCCATTAACCTTCAGAGAGGATGGGAAAGAACTTTAAGATATAGAAGATTAACTCTTACCAAAAAAAAAAAAAAGTAAAAGAATGCTTTATCTTCTCTATTGAATCCTGCATATGAATTTATGAAGCTTTTCAGTTTTAACTGAGTTGTAAATAATCACTGAATTAGAGATCCATATTTTTTCTCATTATTCAGATCTCTCCTGTGGCAGCCCTCCCAGAGTGCAAAATGCCTTTATACCAAACCAGAAGCCTAGGTATCGACATGGAGACACAGCACGTTATGAATGCAGGCAGCATTTGGGCCTCTTCGGGAAAGCAGTGGTGACATGCTTCAGTGGGAAGTGGTCAGACCCACCTGCGTGCAAGGGTAGGTGTCTCATTCTCCCCTCCCAGTCTCTGTGCAGCTTCTGTAAGCACTTGGTTACTAGACTCCTGTCCCGCTGGCCTTCGTTGGTTACTCAGGTTTGTTGCTCTATCCATTCCTGTAAATCGGTTTGGGGCCGGGAGGAGGTGAGTATAGTTCCCACCTACTCATCAGCTCCCTTAAAATCAACTTCTCACTCAATAAACCAACAATATCCTCTCTTAGAGTCCACAGGAAAATGTAAGCCCCCTCCTGCTATTAACAATGGAGACATTACCACATATATATCACCATTCTACGCTTCGGGGTCTTCAGTGGAGTATCAATGCCAGGCCTACTATCAACTTGAGGGAAACAGGAGAATAACGTGCCGTGATGGACAGTGGTCTGAGCCACCCAAATGCTTAGGTAAGTCCTTTAATATTCCTGTGAACTCTGAGAAAATCAGTTTTATTGTTTATGATAAAATTTTGATGAATTAATAAACAATTCTACCCTGCGGTTTGGTTCAGTGGAAGAGCTTTGGTCTGATGACTGAAGGGTTCCAGGACTGATTCTGGTAATGGGCACATGCCCAGGTTGCAGGCCCCATCCCCATTGTGGGGGGTGCTGGAGGCAGCCAATCGATGATTCCTTCTCATCATTGATGTTTCTATCTCTCAATCCCTCTCCCTTCCTCACTGAAATCAATAAAAACAAAGTCAATTGAATGTGTTTGATGTAATTATGGGAAACAAATTTGGACAGAACCAAAAAATATATGTACGTAGTGTCTGTGGCCCATGTGGCCAAAGAAGAATTTAAATGTAAGAAGTTTGGTTTGGATCATGACCTGTGTGCCCATCTCCTCAGGCTTTCAATTCCACCATCCCCACGTGACACCTTTAATAAATGTAAAATTATTCAATGTAATTGAGTGAAGATGGTGAACAAGTTTTAAGGAAACATTTTTATAACATTTTCAAGTAAAAGAAAGACATTGTACAGTTGGCACTGGTTTTGTGTGTATCTATTATTCTAGAGGATAATTATTGGACGACATGTTAAAGATTTACTGAAAAGTCTATGTTGTTGCTTTTTCAGCAATGATTTGTCCTAGCCCACCCAGCTATGACAACGCCATCCTCATGGGCCAGCCGAAGAACTCATACAAGTCAGGAGAACAAGTGGCTTACACATGTCCAGACTATTACCAAATGTATGGATCCAATGTTGTAGAGTGTAGGGACGGCATTTGGATAGGATCACCCACATGCAAAGGTATTTTGGTGAATGGCTTCTCCCATCTTTAAAAAATATATGTAGGTTCTGGTGAGGCCACATGAAGGAAGGGTTTTGCCTCAGCATAGAGGAATGGGATGTGCACTCAGTGCTGGGCATTGGGGCCCCAGAGCCCTCAGAGTGTGACCCCGGGAACAGCCGTGTCAGTGTCTCTGGGGAATCGGTAGAAAGGCAAATGCAGACTCACAGGCTCACTCAGACTCAGCATCAGAAGCTCAGGGGTTGTGACCCTGAAACCGTTGTATTAATTCCCAGCGGACTCTGCGCCCACTTTTGTGGGGAACCCCAGCGTCAGCATCTTATTGCTTTATATCCACCCGAGTCTCCTCAGTGAACCGCACAGTGCTCACTGCAGTGCCCTTAAGTACTCACATTATTGAAGTGTATTTTGATGAAATTATAAATTCATTCTTCTATTTTCCATAATTTCTGTTTGGATATTTTTTTTAATCTTTATTGTTGAATGTTTTACAGAATTCCCCTTTCCCCCCATTTCCTCTTCTAGCCTGGCCCTGGCCCCTGACCCAGTCCTTCACCCCACTGTTGTCTGTGTCCATGGGTTACACATGAATGCATACAAGGTCTTTGATTATTCTCTTCCCACCCACCCATCCTTTCTCACCTTCCCTCTGAGGTTCCACAGTCTGTTGCTGTTTGGATCTTATAAGTGATCATTTTGTTCCTTCCACCAACCATATGATATCCCTCAAAGCCTGTTAATTCTTGACTTACTCTCTAAGAAAGTGGCTACTGCGCTTATATTTTAAATGCCTAAATTTAAAATTCAAAGACATGATGTTTGCAAACCACTTTATGAAGCCAAATAATGTATGTATTATGAGTTTCTAGGGTCTAGAAATTCATTTTAAATTTATATCATTTATGCTTGGTTTACTAAATTTAAAGGAAAATGTTCAGAAAAACCATCACTTTCTTTTCATTCTATAACTTTTTAAAAAAAAATTATTGAATTTATTGGGGTGACATTGGTCCAGAAATGGTGTTGGGGAAATTGGACAGATACAAGCAAAAAAAATTATGAAATTGGACCACCTTCTTACACCAAAACCTACACATTGCTCATTGCAGTGATTAAAGTCTTAAATATAAATTTTGAAATCATAAAAATCCTAAAAGAAATCATAGGCAGTCAAATCTCAGACATTGCACGTAGCAATATACTTGCTGATATATCTCTCCGCGCAATGGAAATGAAAGAAAAAAGTAAACAAATAGAACTATGTCAAAATAAAAAGTTTTGCACACCATGATCGTCATTTTCATTGGCCTAATTATATCCATTAACCTTCAGAGAGGAAGGGAAAGAACTTTAAGATATAGAAGCTTAACTCTCACCAAAAATAATAAAAGAATGCTTTATCTTCTCTATTGAATCCTGCATATGAATTTATGAAGTTTTTCAGTCTCAACTGAGTTGTAAACAATCCCTGAATTAGAGATCCATTTTTTTCTCTTTATTCAGATCTCTCCTGTGGCAGCCCTCCCACAGTGCAAAATGCATTCATACAAAAAAAGAAGCCTAGATATCAACATGGGGACACAGCACGTTATGAATGCAGGCACCCTTTGGGCCTCTTCGGGAATCCAGTGGTGACATGCTTCAGTGGGAAGTGGACAGACCCACCTGAGTGCAAGGGTAGGTGTCTCATTCTCCCCTCCCAGTCTCTGTGCAGCTTCTGTAAGCACTTGGTTACTAGACTCCTGTCCCGCTGGCCTTCATTGGTTACTCAGGTTTGTTGCTCTATCGTTCCTGTAAATCGGTTTGGGGCCGGGAGGAGGTGACTGTAGCTCCCACCTACTCTGCAGCTCCCTTAAAATCAACTGCTCACTCAATAAACCAACAATATCCTCTCTTAGAGTCCACAGGACAATGTGGGCGCCCTCCTGCTATTGACAATGGAGACATTACCACATATATATCACCATTCTATGCTCCTGGGTCTTCAGTGGAGTATCAATGCCAGGCCTACTATCAACTTGAGGGAAACAGGAGAATAACGTGCCGTGATGGACAGTGGTCTGAGCCACCCAAATGCTTAGGTAAGTCCTTTAATATTCCTGTGGACTCTGAGAAAATCAGTTTTATGTTTATGATAAAATTTTGATGAATTAATAAACAATTCTGCCCTAACCGGTTTGTTCAGTGGAAGAGCTTTGGTCTGAGCCTGAAGGGTTCCAGGACTGATTCTGGTAATGGGCACATGCCCAGGTTTCAGGCCCCATCCCCATTGTGGGGGGGTGCTGGAGGCAGCCAATCAATGATTCCTTCTCATCATTGATGTTTCTATCTCTCAATCCCTCTCCCTTCCTCACTGAAATCAATAAAAACATAGTCAATTGAATGTGTTTGATGTAATTACGGGAAACAAATTTGGACAGAACCAAAAAATATATGTACATAGTGTCTGTGGCCCGAGTGGACAAATAAGAATTTGGATGTAAGAAGTTTGGTTTGGATCATGACCTGTGTGCCCATCTCCTCAGGCTTTCAATTCCACCATCCCCACGTGACACCTTTAATAAATGTAAAATTATTCAATGTAATTGAGTCAAGATGGTGAACAAGTTTTAAGAAAAACATTTTTATAAAATTTTCAAGTTATAAGAAAGACATTGTACAGTAGGCTTTAGTTTGGTGTGTATATATTATTCTAGAGTTAATTATTGGCCAACATGTTAAAGATTTACTGAAAAGTCTATGTTCTTGTCTTTTCAGCCAGGACTTGTCCTAGCCCA